ACAGCCAACCCGGTTGAGTCAACCAAGCTATTGGACCCAAACTACATGGTTTTTATGGAAGACCAGTTTCGACGAAATGGTATTGAAGTTCCTTTGATTGGCAATGACGCCGTGCCTTTGGGCAACTGGGCGCCTGGATCTGGAAAAGGGGAGTTGGACATCTACGCGCATGACGCTTACCCTTTTTACAAAGGATGTAAGTTTTCTAACGACCGCTTCAGTCATGTCTGCTGATTGAGTATTTAGGCGATCACCCCACGGACTGGACGGATCTCACTGCTTTAAGTTTGACGTATACGTATCAAAACCATCTGCAGCAGAGCCCAAGCAGCCCCTATGCCGTATTGGAGTACCAGGGGGGTGCCCCCGATCCATGGTAGGCCCATGCTATTTTCTAGTCCCTCTCGTCGATATTGGTGCTGATTGATCAAAGGGGAGGTGTTGGTCTGGATAAGTGCGCAGCAAAGATTAACCAGGACTTTACCCGTGTCTTCGTGAAAGAGCTTGTGTCGCGCTCTATCAAGATACTCAATCTCTACATGGTATGCTTTTCTCCCGTCTTGCATTGGCTGGTCACTAAAGTGGCGGATAGACATATGGCGGGACAAATTGGGGGAACATGGGTCACTCAGAGGGCTACACTTCCTACGATCATGGTGCTTCCATTAGAGAGAATCGTGGGATCGACCGGGAAAAGTACAGCGAGGCCAAGATCGAAGCCCATTTCCTCCGTGCTTCCGAGGCCTATCTCACAGCCATCCCCAAAAACGCTACGTCTACCGAGTTTGTTAGCACACCAGACCTCCAAGTTGTTCCAATCGTAGGGGACAAGACTCGGTTCTACGTTGTGCGCCATACCGATTACACCTCACTCAACCGCACTTCCTACAAACTCAATGTGCCGACATCTGTCGGCAACATCTCCATCCCCTTGCTAGGCGGCGATCTGTCGCTACATGGGCGAGACTCTAAAATCCACATCACAGATCATAATGTCGGCGGCACCAGCTTGATCTACTCGTCAGCGGAGATATTCACCTGGAAAACCTACGGAAACAAGACACTGCTCATCTTGTACGGAGGCGACGGCGAAGAGCACGAGTTCGCTGTGCCATGCTCGTTAGGATTACCGCATTTTGAAGGTAGCAACGCGACAACGCGCACTTATGGCAGCTTCAGAGCTGTTCACTGGGTGGTCCAAGAAAGGAGGCAGGTTGTGCATTTCGAAACCTTCGAAATTCATCTCCTATGGCGCAACGACGCCTACCGCCATTGGGTCCTTGATCTTCCCGATACTAATGATGGATTGATCAAGCCTACTCTAGGGAAGTCATCAATCATTGTCAAGGGGCCTTATCTTCTGCGGAATGCAACTTTTGCTGATGGAGTTCTCCATTTGACGGGAGACATCAATGCTACTACGACTCTTGAGATCCTAGGTGGGGTCCCTTGGAACAGCCCGCTTACCTTCAATGGCCGCCCCCTTTCGAACGCCCAATGGAAGAATGGCAGGCTCCAAGCTGAGCTCGTCTTCGAGAGTCCAGCTCTCAACCTGCCCGTCTTCCCCGAACTGCAATGGCATTCAATCGATTCGCTCCCAGAGATATCTAATAGCTACGACGATTCCGCCTGGACCGAGGCAGCGCTAGAGAAAAGCAACAACCCTCGCAATTTAACGACCCCAACATCGCTCTACTGCAGTGACTACGGGTTCCATGGCGGTTCACTCATCTATCGAGGCCACTTCACCGCGACTGCTAACGAATCATTCTTCAACGTGACGACAGCAGGAGGCTTTGCTTACAGCCACTCTGTCTGGGTTAACGAGACCTTCCTCGGGTCTTTTGCTGGAGATTCTCACACTGCTAACTCAACGCAAGTTTTTGATCTTGCTGGACTAAAACTCGAGGGCCCTTCAGTCTTCACTGTCGTCATTGACCATATGGGCATGAGCATGAACTTCTGGGCACGGTCTGACTGGATGAAGCTTCCACGCGGCATCGTTGACTTTTCACTTGGTGGTCATCAGCAGTCCGACGTGAGATGGAAGCTCACCGGTAACTTTGGAGCCGAAAGCTACATTGACAAGACGCGTGGTCCATTGAATGAGGGTGCATTCTATGCCGAACGACAAGGCTATCATCTTCCAGGGGCACCCACGTCTGACTGGGCTTCAGTGACACCATTTGAAGGCATCAAGACAGCCGGTGTAGCTTTTTATAAGACGGAGTTCCCCTTGGATATGCCAATCGGCTACGACATCCCTCTGAGTTTTGTCATCTCGAATGTGACAGCTTCAACCGGAGCGTCGAGCCTCTTCCGCGCGCAACTTTTCGTCAACGGGTACCAATTTGGCAAGTATGGTGAGTGAGAACCTTGAACCTCCCACCTTTGATATCGTTGCTGTACATCTAACCCCCATGCAGTCAACTATCTCGGCCCGCAAACGCGCTTCTCTGTTCCAGAGGGCATCCTCAACTATAACGACAACAACACGGTGGCACTTACTCTTTGGGCTTTGGACGGATCGGGTGCACGTCTCGAAGGGTTCGAGTTGGCAGCGGACCACATCATCCAGTCAGGCTACCGAAAACCTGGGCAGACACCTCAACCGTCGTGGGTGGAGAGAGTCGGGGCGTACTAAAGAGATCTCCTTTGAAGAGCACCAACTTTCCATTCCAGTGTATATTTGTCCTCAAACAGCCTATATTCGTGGCTTTTGGAGCGATGTGCTTCGACAAGGTATTGCTGTAAAGTTCCACTAGTACTTCGGCTTCTTCGGAAATCGTCAAAAGAGGCACAGAATCTTTTTCGCGAATTAAAGTCATGGCCATCAACTACTTTGCGAATGATCGACGAGCTGAAAGCAGTTGGATGTGGTGTTGAGGCGCAGCCATTGCCGATTGCACACATTCGAGACACCAACCGGCTCCGGGGAACGGACGTAACACAGGGCGACCGAATCTGCCTTGCGCGCCCTTTCAGTGCATGTCAATCAACCTACGCATGGCCATAACTCCTCTCTCGGGCGGTGTGCATACCATCGGCTTCCGGGACGCTAAACCAGATTCTCTTACCGCAGCTTCGGCCCCGTGGCAATGAGTGCTGCAACTAGGTGAATCCGGGCTTAGCGGCGCGGAATATGCGCCGCTGTCAAGGTTCACAAGCGACTTGGCAGGCAGTTCCTGAGATGTCATGCGTGACCCTTGCATTTCAGCTCTTGAGAAATAAATGCTCGACTACTGTCCACGTCCCGTCATCAACGTCTGGCAAAGCCCGGAGAACCATTTGATATTAGCACACAGAACTGCAACATGCCGCCGGTATTTGAAGATCCTTGGCCCAAGGAGAGAGTCAACAGTTCGCTTCAACTCGCCGCATCAGTAAGTGACCACATTGTTTCAAGGGATGGTCCATGTCTGACCTCGATGGCTGTGTAGAGTCATATCCAGCTCATTGAGATTTTCCTGAAACTCATACCGCACTTCAAACATGACGATGCTGGCGGTATCCACGACGAAGCTCTAGCATATTCGGAGTGGCGCTATGTGAATTACATCCGCTACCTGCGCATCTATGGTGTTGCGCCGCATGACTATCCACCCCCTTGGTGAGTTCCCATTCTCAAACGAAATTCAATGTGTTAACTCAGATTACTCGGTAGGGATGTAGCCATCATCTGGTACTGCCATCTCCTATCGCCAGGCAAATTCCACCGGTATCTTTGGGATGGAGGGTATCGCGACTACGGCTTAAACCATCATCACTTCCCAGTGAAGCGCCTACTAGACCTCTATAACTCTGGCATATGGTCCGACAAAAAGGCCCAGAGGAAATGGGGGAGCTATAATATGAGAGATGACAGTCACAAGCTGCCCTTCCAACTGTGGCGGTACCCGCCGTGGCAACCCGAGCGAAAGTCGAAGCTGCTGTCACGTTTTTCGAACAAGCAGCCGTGTATGCATATCAAAGCTGACCCGGCGATCATGATGCACGACGTTGATCAGCTAGCCTATTGTACCATTATGGGGAAGAGAGAATGGAAATTGTCAGAGTGGACGGATATGAGGATCGGGAAGAGGCAAGACGTCTGTTTCAAGAACAACCTACATAGTCGGGACGGAGAATTGTGTCAATTGGCACCCTGGCCCACTCTCGACGACCTGCGAAAGACTTTGAACAGTCAGATTGCATTTTGGAAGACGGTCATTCAAGCAAAAGAGAGCGATGTTTCGTTTGCCGCGAGTCTCGGCCGCTCAATTGGCGATTACGAACAGTTCATCAAGCTGCTTGGAAGGCCTGCCGAAGGAACCTTCACCTCACGCCCATTGGAATACGACATGGACACAATCTTTCGGTCCAAGTCAGGAACCCACCTGTTGAAAAGCCGCTGCATTGTACCCCCAACCCTAGCCATAGATCTTCTTTGGCATACACATCGGCTTTACCCAGGATCTTACTGGGTGTGGAGCTTTAGCGTCGCCAGAAGGCTCATCGACTATGAGCATGTCACGTCGGCCGCTGCAGCACAACTATTTTTGCACGACACGAGGAACGAATGGGCGAAGAAGTATAGCAAGGACTGTCCCAGAGATCCTGTCATGGATAACTTGGGAGGAGACGGCTACGTCCCCGATGCAGCAGCTGTTCAACCTGGTCATCCTGCCAAAATTAAGGCAAAGTTCGGGCTCGGTGGCACTAATCCTATCAGGAAGAGAAAGAGACGCACAAAGGGCGAGTACTTCGTCTTTGACGGAGTCTATGTCTCTTTCGATAGTGGTGATTGCGGTGGAGGGGATGGTGGTGGCGGCGGCGGCGGCGGCGGCGGGGACGGAGGATGCGGCGGTGATGGCGGTGGTGGAGGAGGTGGAGGTGGCGATGGGGGGTAATAGCGTTGATTGAATGGGATTTGCACATTTTGAGGCAGCTACTATTTGAGATGTGGCATTATCATTATTATGGTGCAGTTCTAGCTGATTGCAGTATGGGCACTGTTAGTCTCAAGCCAGGGTATGTTTGCTGAAGAAGTCCATGATATACGAAGATGCATTGTAGGATGCCGGACCATCTCCGTGCTCCTTGTTGTCCGCATTCGCCCCAGTGTAGGGCCAACTATGATCAACATCATGCTCATAGACGTGAGTGACGAGACCCTTTTTGTCACCTGATCCCCAGCGATACATCTGTGCATGAGAGGTGATATTCTTCTCGCATGCCTTCTCGGCAAGACCATCACGAAGAGCCCATTCGGTTACCCAGTGAAAGACATCAGGCAAGCAAGCGCCACGGCGGCTAGGATTGCCTTCGTAGGGAATAGTTCCATCGATTCCACCATGAAACTCAATGAGAGGTATGTTGGACCTTCCGGGGTTGCACGGAATATCGACGGTCTTGGGATTGCAACCCTCTGCGCCCTCGATGTAATAAGAGCCAGAGACGGGGGCAAAAGCAGCGAAGCGCGTTGAGAGTTCTTTGTGGCAGGCAGCATAGTTGACAAAGCCGCCGCCGTTGGATTTGCCAGTCATGAAAACGCGGTTTGTATCGATGCAATAGGTTTTCTCGAGGTCGTCCAAGACATTGCTGGTGTACTCAATGTCGTTTCTCTTGGTGATATTAGGAGTACCTTCCCATCGTTCCTGAAATATCACGTCAGCCTCTTTCGTGAGCTTCTCCGACAAATGTTGCTTACCTGGTATCCGCGTAGATAAACGACGATGTGATCCGTATTGAAGTATGGCGTTTCCAGACGGTCAAGATCTCGCTGAGACTCTGGTGTTCTAGTCCCACCATGGTAGGAGAATATGATCGGGTTATTGGACTTTGTAGAGTACTTCGGTGGCAAGAATAGGAGATAGTCTCGAGATCGGCCGTCTTTGTCGGTGTAAGGAATTGTGTACTCGTTCCCAGGTGCACGCCCCTGTGGTAGGGCCTTGGTGCATTGAGCAGATGCGGTCTCACTCCGTGCTGGTGTCGTCAAAGCTGCCACGACAGATGCCGATGTGCTGAGGGCCAGCGTCAGAAAGCGTGAGGAAACCATGATAAAGTCTATCTTGAGGGATGAAGCGGTATCGAACGTGGCAGGAGAGAAGTCCTTCTCTCATAGACAAAAGAGACCAAAGTTATAATCACCGGCGACTCGTCGTGAGAACCGCTATGAAATATATACGCAATCGCGGATCATAACAGCCGGAGTACCTAGGATCAGCGCTACCCGGGCCTAGTTGTCACTAAAGCCTTTCGGGTCTCACCATGTGCCGACAGAAATTACGAGAACACGGGGTGATCGTCGCCAGGTGTAAGCACGTTTCCCCAAAGGATCGCTAGGCACCGGCTTAACTCCCCTAGAAGACCCTCTCAAATGGGAGAATGATTCCTTTTCAGGGCACCTCGTCGCGCATTTGTTGGGTTATCCACCGGAGAAGATTTCAGCCCCCCGGGATTTGACCGTGAAGGATGCAGAAGAAACCTTATTATTCCCCGCATGCACGCGATTCGGATCGCAAATCAAGGAACGAACTCGGGAATACGGCATATTTCCACGAAGCCACAGCTCTACAGTTGATGGGCACCGTGTTAGATTACACTCGTGCTACCGCATCTATGTAGTCCCGCGTTGTCAGCATGCTAAGCAGGTCGGGCAAAGACGGAACCACTGCGACGTTCAACTAAGAAACATTTCAGAACGGACACACTGAAGTTGGTCTAATCTATAACGGTTGAAGGATGTCTTCGGATTTTTTTTCTGAACAAGCCATTGCTCGTTGCTTATGGAGTCTGGTTCTCAGTAACCTGAAATGACCGGCTCCTGTCTTCACAATGGTCACGTCACTCCGCCAGCGCAAGTCCAGAGGCGCATGACGCAAAAGGAGAAGCAGTTGCTCCATAGGCAATTGACGCTTTCTTGAATTCTAGTAATGTTCTAGAAAATGTTCAAAATGATTGTCGATTCGCCGTCACATCAAATCATCTCAGCAGGTTCGGAAACATATCGGGAACATAAGCTCATTTCGGACGAATCGCCAGATGCCGGGTCACTTTTACCTCATTCAGCGTCTGTAGCTGGAATAAAACTCCGCTCCGCAACGCCAATTTGAGCCCAGAAATGCGCGGAGTTGAGCAATTGACAACGGCCGATGGTCAAGTTTACTACGGGGTTATGGACATATAAATATTCGGCGATTTTTAAGCTTTCCAAATTAATCAATCCAAACTCTACTCGAGCAGCCAACCAAGTACCAAATATTTCTCAACTCGACGGCAGAGACCGACGCGACTGAGAATGGGTGACACTATGAAAGCTTGGCAATATTCTGCCATCGACGGCAAGCTCGAAGATTCTCTTGTTCTCAACAAATCAGTGCCCAAGCCAAGCTCCTCAACCTTAAGCAAAGATGAGCTCCTTGTCGAAGTCATCAGCGCATCGCTCAACCCAGCAGACTACAAAGTCCCCGAGTCAACTCTAATCGGACGTCTCATGGTCGCGCGCCCCGCTACGCCTGCCATGGACTTCTGCGGCCGCGTTGTAGCCACACACACCACAAATTCCAGCTTTCAAGTCGGACAACTTGTATTCGGTGGATATGCTGGCGTTGGGCAGAAAGGCACGTTGGCAGAGTACATTGTCATCTTGGGAACTCACTGCGCACCCCTCCCGGAAGGCATTGACCCTGATCTGGGCGCGGCGGTTGGCACAGCAGCGACAACAGCCTGGCAGTCTCTGATACCGGATATCCTGCAACCTGGCGGCAAGGTGTTTATCAACGGAGGGAGCGGCGGTACAGGCACGTGGGCTATCCAACTAGCGAAAGCCTTAGGCGTTGAGGTCGTCACGACGTGCTCCACCAAGAACATCGAGCTCTGCCGAGAGCTTGGCGCGGATGAAGTCATTGACTATAAGAAGGATGACATCGTGTCGAAGTTGAGGGATCGGGGTAAGGTCTTTGATCTCATTATCGACAACGTGGGCAACAGTACCGGGCTGTATGACCGCAGCAGCGCCATCTTGAAGCCTGGTGGGACTTTTGTCATGGTGGGCGTCGGAGAAAGTCTGACGCTTTCAGGATCGTTCTCGATGTTGAGCAAAATGATTTGCCCAAAGATTATGGGGGGGCACCAATTTTATTTCGTGCGGATGCAGAACAGCGCGCACTTTTTCCGACGAATTGGCGAGTTGATGGCACAGGGAGAAGCCAAGGCAGTAATTGATTCCACGTTTGAGTTCGATCAGGTGCCGGCCGCTTATAGAAGACTGCGGGATGGACACGCCAAAGGCAAAGTTGTTGTTCAAGTAGCGAAAGTCAAGGGTAGCAGGGCTTTGGGTTGATTGAATACGTACATCTCACAATAGTTACTTAGTATTGTGTAGGCCTAGGTGATATTACTGCAGCCGCGGAGTATTATTGCTGCTCGGTAGAATTGAAGATGTGAATGACTTGATCATCGAGCTCTCGACACGATCTGCATCTTTTGAAGTCCAAAATGTTCTACTTAGCTCAATTTAACCCCTCGGTTCTTGAAAAGAAACTTGATGGTGTTTACTCAAACCTTTCCAATCCGCAATGTTAGCACTCTCGGCACTGCTCCCCTTCCTTCTCCGCTGTCTGGACTTATCTTGAATACCTAGCCCCTATTTGGGGTGAAGCTCTTCCACTCCTACCCTGAGTGCCCGCGTCGGACAAGGAAGTGCTCCTTCTAAGAATGGAGACGCCCGTTACTCAAGTTACCGGTCTTACGCATGTGCATGCATGCAAATTAGAGATGCTTTCTGAAATCGTTCGAACGGGACCGAATATGGGGCTCCCGTCACACCTACTTAGAGTAGTCACTGCGACCCACACGTTGAATCCGAGGACATCCGCGCAAAGTCCCATTTAAGCCCGGCGTGCGTCGGTCGGTATCCGGGTCCGGAGTGCGGCGTGTGACTCAGGCCGTCCGCGGAATGTCAGCATCCAATGACAACGCGCTCTACCCGAGGTCTATCCAAAGTCCCAAATCGGACAGCAAAGAGCTAGAATTAAAGGCTAGTTGTCCGAGGCTTACGTTACGATCTTGGCGAATTGCTGAGCCTCGATTTTGGAGATCATCATCTTCTTAGGGGCATTGAGGCTTTGGGCTTTGAAATTTCTCGCTACATTTATCATGAAAGACTTATAAAAACCATCTTCGGTCGCCAATTGTCATAACAAGAATAATGTTCGATACACTCATCAGTCACATCACCTCTCACCTCAAACCGCGATTCGCCTGGTCACCACGAGCTTTACAAGCTCAGATCCCCATCGCGATGTCTCTGTCCCTTGCTCAAAACTGTGTCCCGAGCACCTTCGGCCCAGTCCTCTACGGAGCTGAGATTTTGTCTCTTGAGGCGAACCTAGTCACCAACTACAGCGCCTCCGTCCCCGCAGCTTTCCGATACACCTCCCCGGCCGTCCAACTGACGAACGCGACCTTTTGCAATGTGACCATCACGTATACGCACCCGGGCCAGAACGACAACCTCGTCACCGAGGCATGGCTTCCGGAAAACTGGAATGAGAGGTTCATGGCTGTGGGCGGAGGGGGCTGGGTCGCCGGCCGCTTCTTCTTGAGCTACAACGCAATGAACGGAGCCATTGCGGACGGTTTTGCGACCATCACAACGGATGCTGGCCTCGGATCTGCGAATGAGCCAAGTCCGTGGGCGTTGAACAGCCCTGGCAACGTCAACCTGTACAACTTGCAGAATTTGGCATCCGTTTCCCTCAAGGACGAGGTAATCATCGGTCGCACTTCTCAAATGAGGCCCTGTAAAGCTTATGAGTGCTGATCACAAAACCCCCAGGCCATTATCGGCAAGTCTTTGATCAAGAGCTACTACAGCCAGGACCCACAGTACTCCTACTGGGCCAGCTGTTCCCAGGGTGGACGACAAGGGCTCATGCTTGCCCAACGCTACCCCGACATCTACGACGGCATAGTAGCAGGCGCCCCGGCAATCAACTGGAACAAGCTGGTGAGCTTCGTCTACTGGCCCCACCAAGTAATGAACGAGCTTGGCGCGTTCCCTTACCCTTGTGAGTTCGACGCCATCGTGAACAAAGCAACCTCCGAATGCGATCCTCTAGATGGAGTCACGGACGGAGTCATCTCCGACATCGCAGCCTGCTTCAAGTCCTTTGATCCTTTCTCCCTCGTCGGCCAATCGATCACCTGCGCCCAGAAAAATGGAACTCAGCAGATTATCTCAGAAGCCGCTGCGACGGTAGTGAATGCTACGTGGCACGGCCATGTCACCGCGGATGGCCAGCGGCCGTACCACGGTATCTTGCCTGGAGCCGACTTTACGGGCAACAAGCCGACGTCCTTCAGCCAGCCGGGCATTGTGATGACGAGCTGCAACGAGAAAGGCTGCACAGATGAACCATCTAACCTCGGTACCGCCTGGTTCAAGCTTTTCATCGCCAAGAATGAGACCTTTGACTTGACAAATATGAGCCGCGAGGAGTATGATGCGCTGGTGTACTCTGGTCGCCAGCAATATGAGTCGATTGTCGAGACCGCCGACCCCGATCTGAGACAGTTCAAGGCAGCCGGAGGCAAGATGGTGACTTTCCACGGTTTGGTACGCATGCATCACTCGGATTCTGTACCAAGCAATTAGCGAGCTAACATTCTGTCTGCAGGCTGACAACATCATCCCGCCTGGTGGTACCGAAGACTACTACAAGGCAGTGAACGAGGTCATCCCTGATATCCAGGACTTCTATCGCTACTTCGAGGCTCCCGGCTTGGGCCACTGCTTCGGCGGTGTGAGCGGCTCCCCTACTGGCCTCTTCGAGCAGCTTCGCAACTGGGTTGAGAACGGCACCGCGCCTGACCAGACGCCTATCCAGATCTCTGTCGGCAATGCGACGCACAACCGCATCCTTTGCCCGTACCCCGAGAAGTCGATCTTCAACGATGGCTGCGGGGATGCTTCCAAGGCCGAGTGCTGGTCTTGTTCCGAAAGCCCCATCAAGTCCAACACCACCAAGAGGGCTGCACCAATGTTCCACGGGCTCTAATAGTGTCGTCTCAATACTGATGAGGGTTCTATTACTTCACAAGAATGTTCTTCTTTTCCGCTCACCGCAAGATTTCTTTTCACGAGACTTGCGGCGCGACGAAAACTTACTTTTCACTTCTTCTATGTACATTATATAAAACACATGCATACTTCCTAGTCTACAATGTTGAACCACTTGGTCGTGATCTTAGTCAATTTCGCTCATCGTCGTTCCCTAACTTTCATGCTATGTCCATTCTTTCGCCTTCTTTCAACATTTCATTTGGCCATTCCAGCCATTCTTTCCAGTAAGTCCCAAGATGATCTGAAGTTGCCCGGATAAGAAACTCCCCAGAACCGCCCACGGCCCAATAGTCTTTCGCCCAATGAAGTAGCACGGCATAATAAGACAACAAGACCAGAGCTTCAGGACGTCTTTGTTGAAGGAGTCTGATGTACTCTTGTGACACTCGCACAGGCCATTCCTGAATGACGACGAGCCTGCGACTTTCCTCCGAACGTACAGAATCGAAGAGATACTGCAGAATCTTAACAACATCTATGTAAACACCCCTCGTTTGTTCGTTCATCTCATTTTCATTCAGCCGCCGGAGCAAGCTATCACACTCGTTGCCGTGAAGGACTTGTGTGCCATTCTCCATAGAATATGCCGGGTTGTGGGGAAGGATGTTCTGCATATGGCCATGGAACTTTCCCATGGATTCCGCGACAATGCCACGGATTCCGTGATGAAGTGTCAGACATTGAACGAGCTTGTCGAGCACGGTAGGTATCGAGGTTGCTGCGGCGAAGGCTTCGAACAAGGTCTGTTGACCAAGTAGGAGGCTGAAACAGAAGAGCGCCATGACGTTATCTTCGTTAACTTGCAACCCGCCGATATCCAGATGCCCTATGGCTCTCGTTTGGAGGCCGGTCGCTTGGGTGAGGTACAACGTCGTTGTTTCTTCGTCATTGGCGACTGTGCTCCTGTAGGCGGCGGTGAAGGCCAGGACCTGGTCCATCAAATATGGCGCCTTCAACGCTTCAGAATAGATCAGACGCATCATTGGGCCCATTTCGGACTGCAGGGAGACGAGGACATCTGTGAGAGCCCCTCTAAAGAAGAGGAGTAGATCGAAGTGGAACAAGCTGAAGCGTTCCGAGAAGAAGTCATCTGACAACTCTGATATATTCAATGACGTAGTCGCGCCATGAGGATCTGGTACTGCTGAGGGCAGTTGTAAATGACGACTAGAGGAAACCGAGGATTGCGGGCTCAGAGCTTGAGGAGTGGACAAATGTGCCGGTGTTTGGGCTGGTGGCGTTGGTAGACTGCTGACCAGCTCTCGGTAAGAGCAATTTCTTCCCGCGGTCTTGCATCTAATACAAATCGGCCGAGACTCATCGCATTTGACCTTTCGTTCTTTGCATTCTTTGCATCCAAGGCGGGACTTTCTGTGCTTTGGCATTGTGGATATAAGACAGGCTCGGGTCTGAATAAAGCGAACGTTCGGACTACGATGCCCTGTGATTATGGAATCCGGGAGCGAGTGAATAGCCAACTGGGAAAAAACAGACAGAGAAGGAAGTTTAGTGAATTGCGTTTCCGAGCGTCAGATCGGAAAGTGAAGAGTATGTATGGGCGAGATGGGCACTGGAGACATAAGAGGCGAGCCGAAGAGGGCTTGATATCGGGTATGGCATCGTATTGGCGTATTAGTTCCGAGGTGTGAGGCTGAGGCCAATCGCATTCATCTCTGTCCGACAGGTTATCCACATCGAATTGGCCGCTAGTCAGCTTTGTGCTTTGGATCCCTCCAAGCTTAATCGCAGACGGCGCGACTTGTGTCGGGTTATCATGAAAGTGGTAAAAGTGATCTCCTGGGACCGAGTATTTATGAGATGCAAGCCTCAGGGGTAATTCTTAGCTGCATCGAAGGCATACTCACGTTGAGCTTTCTGCTCTTTGTGAGAATTGAATCATTTGAAGTAAGTGAGTAAGGAGGGAGAGGCAATGAGACTGAAATGAGAATGAGATGCTTTTAGTCTGTGCATGGCCAGGTATCTCTAGGCCTATCCAGGCCTAGCGTGGTTGAGAGACCCCACCTACCGGTGTTCAGCCGAGTTGCCCCGCCTCTCCGCGCCGCGTCCCGCAGCCTTGCAGCTCGCAGGAAAATTTCTTGACAAGAGCTTCTGGTGTAGGCGGGCGCAAAACCTCCATCTGCATTGTACGGACGATGAGAACGTCCGCCACCTCAATTCGAACATGGCGACCGACGATGCTCCTCAACCGGCCGGCGGTGCTCCCGCGAGGCAACCTGCCGACCTCCCGACTGGCGACAAGCCGTCAATTTCATCAGAGTCCCGCGCAGATGGCTCAGCCCAGCCCGGTGCTGCAGTGGAAAAATCACAGGAGGGCCGACGCGGCGACAGGCGCGACGACAACAGGCGAGGCGGCAAGTCGCGCGGACCGAAGCGGAAGCACGACGTCGGCCGGTCGGCGTGGAGGTAAGCTCTGCCCTTGTCAATTGACTTGTTATTCGTGTTTGCAACTGGCGCCAATGATGTCTAACCAGGGAATAGCCGTGAGGCCACCGACAAGCGCGGACGCAATGCCGAGTACCAAGAATTCAAGCGCAGGAAGGTAGACAAGGACGGCAACCCTGAGACCACCGAAAACCCTTTTACCGCCGAAGAGATCGCCGCCGAGGGTCGCAAGCCGAAGCGAAAGGTGGCCGTCATGGTCGGATACTCAGGCACGGGCTACAAGGGCATGCAGATCAACAATGAGGAAAAGACAATCGAGGGAGACTTGTTCAAAGCCTTTGTTGCTGCTGGAGCCATCTCAAAGGCCAATGCCGATGACCACAAGAAGTCGAGTCTCGTCCGATGCGCGAGAACCGACAAAGGCGTCCACGCTGCTGGCAACGTCATCAGCTTGAAGCTCATTATCGAAGACGAGGACATTGTCGAGAAAATCAACGCCGCTCTGCCCGACCAGATCCGTGTCTGGGGTATCCAGCGTACCAACAACTCCTTCAGCTGCTACCAAACCTGCGACTCGAGATGGTACGAGTACCTCATGCCGACATACTGCCTTCTGCCCCCTCATCCCGACAGCTGGCTGTGGAAGCAGCTGGTTGAGGCCGCGAAGGAGAAGGGCTACTACGAAGAGTTCTCAAAGAAGCTGGCCGATGTCGAGGGATACTGGAGAAAGGTTGACGAGGAGGACATCAAGCCGATCCTCGAAAAGCTCGATCCCGAGACCAAGGCCAAGGTGATGGAGCGAATCCACGCCGACGAGGATGCGACCGCACAGGCAGACGAGGCCAAGTCCGCCCCCGAGACGAAAACTGAGGAGGCACCAGCCCAGCCCGCCACCACCGAGGAGAACAAGGCCCCCGCAGAGGTCCCCGAAGGAAGCGTCAAGCCCAGAAACCGCGACCTCACCCCCCTTGACTTTGCCCTGCGCGACATCAAGGCCGCCTACATTGCAGCCAAGAGACGTTACCGTGTTACCCCCGAGCGCCTCGCTCAGCTCCAGGAGGCCCTCAACATGTACTGCGGCACAATCAACTTCCACAACTACACCGTCCAGAAGAGCTTCAAGGACCCGTCAGCCAAGCGCCACATCAAGTCCTTCAAGGTCAACATGCAGCCGATTCAGATTCGCGATACCGAGTGGGTCTCCACCAAGGTCCACGGACAAAGTTTCATGATGCACCAGATTCGCAAGATGGTCGGCATGGCTTCCCTCGTCGTCCGTTGCGCCACCCCACTGAAGCGCATCAAGGAGAGTTACGGTCCCACGAGGATTGCGATTCCCAAGGCTCCTGGTCTGGGTCTTCTTTTGGAGCGACCCGTGTTCGATGCCTACAACAAGCGGGCGGCAGACAACTTTGGCAAGGAGACGATCGACTTTGCGAAGTACGACGAGAAATTGCAGGCCTTCAAGGATAAGCAGATCTACCAGCGCATCTTTGAGGTTGAAGAGCAGGAGAACACGTATGTGATACCCTATCCTTTCTATTTAATACATTTACTGATCATGTCTCCAGCTTCCACATCTTCTTCCAGCAGGTAGATAACTTCAAGTCCGACTATTTCCTGTGGCTCACGGCCGGCGGCATCGAGGCTGGTGGGGTTCGAACCGGAAAGGAAGAGAAGGGAAGCAAGACCCTCGAGTCGGCGCTTGGTGACGAAGACGAGAACCCTGTCAACGGTGACGGTTAAGTCAGCCAGATCAGGCGATAGAGTTGCTGGATGTGGAAGATCAGGGTTGACAGCGCAGCGGTGACTGCTCATAAAAATGATACAATAGAATTAAAAATGCATAAAATTCCCTTTTCCGTCCTCTGTATACGGGTATCAGCGTTGCGTGTCCAGAGATACGTTGTCCCCATCTCGAGAACCCCAAGCCCAAACGCCAAAGCATGCAAATCGTAGTTTTCGCCTTTCTCCCTCCGACTTCTCAAGTCAATTCACGATCCCGTCCCTACGCAGCACCACCAGCCCCATTCGGAGCCGTCGGAGCAGCAGGTGGGGGAGCAGCAGCAGCAGCAGCCGCAGCAGCACCCTCTCCAGCTGCACCATCCGCGCGACCCATCGGCACCCATTTGCCCCCTGCCGCGGCTGCAAGACCAGCGAACCGCGTCTCCTGGATGGCGTTAAGGAGCTCCGCGCACCGGACCACGTCGGCCTGGAGCTTGTCTGCCTGAATGCGAGCGTCGCCTTCTCCCTGTCCTAGCTTGCCGAACAGCCAGAGCTCTTTGAGGCGGCGGCTGAGTGCGAGGAGGTCTTTGATTGATGCGTGCTGCGAGCTCATGGTCAGCCGGGTGTTGTGTTCATTCTCCAAGGTGGGGAAGGTGGGCGCAATTGGCAGTGTGCGTCTGGATTTCAGGAGAATTTGGGGATAGAGTGGTCAGTGGTGGCATACCAGTCCTTCAAATTCCATTTGCATCGACATGCCCGTCACAGCGACCGTCTGCGGCTCAACGTTCTTACGCTCTCCTTCAGCTTGGATCGTCGCGAGCATTGTGAGCATCCGGAAGCGGGAGAGGACGTCGGCAATGAGCCGATTATGCGTGTCCAGTAGATTCGATGAGTCTCGTGAGGTGTCCATGGTGCCGGATTTTTATGGTGTCGATACTTGCGAGAGGGAGTTTGTGAGGATGGCGGCGTTGGAGGTGAGGTGAGAGGTCAGAGCTCCTGCTGAATCTTGAATTCCTGGTGGGGCGGTGTGGTGGGGGTTCCTCGGTGTACTGTGACCTCTAGGGCCTTACCGAGCCTTTACACCGAAACCGTCGGTCAGCGACAGGAAACACTCTTGATCGCATGAAAAGGAGCCAGCAATCAGTATGTTCGCTAACACAGTTGAATGGACATGAAATACAATCTCACTGTTGAAATTTTCAATAATGGTGGAAGAAATCGATCTGACCCTAAGTCAAAGGAGCCGTTCCAAACAGTGAGCTTTGGCTGCCGCCAACGTTCTTTGTCAAACAACACATCGCATATTAACAAAGGCTGCCGGGTCAAGTTCACGACCTGTCGCATCATTTCCTTGACGTATTCCAGAGGCCTTCATCCCCCGAGTGACTGATTATAAAGTGTGTGTGTTCTCAGGCCGGAATTCCTTCTCATCAACTCATTTCCCACCTATATTTCAAGCTCGACTCAGATACAACACTTTAAGCTGAAAGCAAATCATTCAAGTGGGCAACATTACCTTCCAACACTCCAACAACCCAACATGACTACTTATACCATCAACCCCAACGGTCTGTTCCCAGACTCATATGTCCTCGGGGGCATGCCTGAGCTCGGCGAGGATACCGACGATACCAAGGTCCAGGTACAAGTCCTTCAGAATAACATGATCTTTTGCGCCTTCCTGTTGAATTTCAAAGAAAGTCAACCTCCACCTGGGATTCCCCGTCAGTTGTTTGTACGGATCCAAAAGTACGAAAAGAATGAATCTCCCCTGGCAACTGCTGCAATCACGAACCTAGCCCGAACCGTCCTTCCTTCGCTGGTTCCGAAGGTCTGGGGTTCTGGATACAGTTGGATGAAAGACGGTACGAAGGTTTCCTATGTCCTTTCTCAATGGTACCCGGATTCCTGTCCACTGGAAACAGTGTGGGATGACTTGGGCGTCGAAAATCGAGGAGAAATTGTCGGAGATTTATTCGAGGCAGTGTCCAAGTTGTGTAGCCTCTCCTTGCAGAAGCTGACATTCGAGCAATGGCAATTACTTCGGAACACCCCATTCGAGACAAAGAAGACGGAGCTCTCCATCCTAGTCGGCGGTCCGCCTTACGGATATCATACCGACTTTGCGTCCCTAATGCGCCGTAACCTCTGCCCCCGAAACGCCGATTGCGCGGTGAACGGAAGGACTGATGGGACTTTGGTCGTGAGTGTGCATGCGCCCGAAGCGGAACACTTCGGGTTCGCTGAAACAGACTTGGATCTGCTAACTCAAAGCTCAGTCTTGTGCCACAACGACTTGGAGCCCCACAACCTACTTGTTAAGAAGGTCTATACCGAGCGCGGTGATGAGTACAGGCTTGTGGCCATACTCAACTGGGATCAAGCAGGCTTCGTTCCCTTTGCCTTTGAGGTTGCTCGAAAAGATCTACATCTGGGCTTGCGGAACTTCAACTGGAGCTGGTACGATATGTATCGGCAACTTGCTGGTCATCAACTTTTCGACACTCCAGGTCGTCCGATTTGGTCAAAGCTGATCCGGTGCCTGATGGCTGTTCATTCTTCCTCCCAGGCTAAGATTACTGAGATATCTACTTCGGACGGCACGGCGCAGATGTTGTGGCTGGAGAATGAAGGTCTCACGTTCTCTACTCTTGTTGAAGAAGGGTGGGTGAAGCTGCGCTCTTTTGTCGAATTCCCGTCCGATGACGAGCAGGATATTTGGGATCCTTAGAAGTTAGGAGTGCCATAGCTCACCTGGCGAGATTGTGGGGCTATTACATGTGCCTTAAAAGAACGCCACCTCAAAATATAAATGCATTTGATCTTGATTGAAGCGTGAATGCTTTCTTCCTCAACATGTTACCAGAAGATAATGTGGAACTAACAGAACCGCGGAAGTTTGGTCCCAGTGACTGATGTGGCTGCATGAGTGTCGCTATGGTCAGAACGAAGAATCCATCAGAGCATCTAAATAGTCACTAAATCTTCTTGGATGATTTTATAAGAGGCCTGTGAATCTAAAATTTAACTGAAATTGAGGTATCTGAGTTTCCATACTGGAGTCGAGCATATATGCTCAAGGGGCAGCGTAGAGCCGGGCGGAGGGTCGGAGGGTCGGACCTTAAGTCCATAGCCGCTCCGGGATTAGCGCTTACATGTACACTTCCTGCATTTACAAAGCTGTGAAAACAACCGAAATGACCCGTGACTTCATCACTACTCCTAAAGATTAACAACTCATCTGCTAAAATCTGCGAATTTCGTAGTCTTGTTCTCAACTTTCAACTCCAATTGTTTGCAGTCTCCCAGAACGCGAATATGGCATATCCTGCGCTAGCTGCCAGACCTCGTCCTCCGGGTACACCGACGAATGTCTCATCTCAACCTCAACCTAGTGCCAGTCGACGGCGAGATAAACCTCAACTTTCCTGTAATAGTTGTCGACGCCGCAAGTAAGTCTGAATCTTTATTTACCATTTCGGCTGACCCGTGCTTCTAACACACTGCTCAGGATTCGATGTGATCGTCAACGACCCTGTAGAACCTGCTCCTGTAGGGGCCAGGATTGTGTCTATCCAGAAACCAACGACACCATCCCACCTCCAAAGGTCACATCTAGTGGCGCTCCCAATATAAGTCTGCAAGATCGTCTAGTCCACCTCGAGCAATTGGTTACAATGTTGGGGTCATCGGAAAACCGAACGAGTCAGATCGGTACGCCTGCAAACATACCTACGCCAATTGACGATCGCTCAGAGACGGGGAGTATGCGGTCAAGCGCTATGGAACACCAGTATGTCGGCAGTGAACACTGGTCAGCGATCATGGAGAGTATTGCAGATTTGAAAGACCACTTCGATCGAGAGGAACAGTCCAAGCTGGCAGAAAGTCCAACAGCAGATTACTGCTTTGAAGACCCAAGCTCTTTCACCCAACGTCGAAGGTGGCAGCGCCCCTTGCTTTTGTACGGATGCCGACCTGCAGCTTCAAGGTCAGAAATCCTGTCCACCCTGCCGCCAAAAAATGCAGTAGACCGCTACATATCTCGGTATTTCAACCGTCTAGACCTCGTCTCTTCATGTATGTCTTTTCGCGCCTTGTCTTGGCCGATTGCTTGGATTTGAGAGTATCCCTTACTAATGCACAGCAGCGTCCGTCCATGGCCCAACGTTTCTCAAAGAGGTAAGTGTAATTTCTCTACATTTAGCCAGGTCAATTGACTGATAGCGGCATGGGTGATAGTACGAACAATTCTGGCGCGATCCCAACGACACTTCCACAATGTGGATCGGTCTTCTTTTCAGCATGATTTGCTTAGCTGTCATCGCATCGGACCCTTCCACTGACGTATCTGAAGATGGCCACCAACAGCTGCAGATAGAACTGTACCGAGAGAAACTGGTACAATGTCTGCTGATGGGAGAGTATACTCAAGGTGGCGACTATGCGCTAGAGACTTTCATGAATTACGTCTACGTTGAATTCAGGATACATGACGACGCGCAGAGGGATGTTTGGTTCTTGCTTGGCCTCGAAGTCAACCTAGCCAAACGAATGGGGTACCACAGAGATCCCAAACACTTCCCAGGAATTACCCCGCTAAAGGCAGAGATGAGGCGCCGAGTATGGGCAACCGTACTATTGGGAGACATCTTGATCTCAGGTCAGATGGGAATGCCCCGCATGGTACGAGATGGCGAGTTCGACACAGCCGAGCCACGAAATTTGAACGATGAAGACCTGCACGGAGAAATGACAAGTCTACCACCGCCAAGGCCAGAGACGGAGCATACAACAGCCCTGGGGATCATTGCTCGAAGGAGACTTCTGATCGCTCTAGGGACCATCTCCGACCTTGCAGCATCCCTCAGCCCAAGTAGTTACGCGGACATAATGCGACTTGACGGGATTCTTGAGCAGGCATACAACAACATCCCTCTACCACTCCGCATGAAGTCTATGGCCTCCAGCGTCACCGACTCCCCCCAAGTAATCATGGCCCGCCTTTTCCTTCGCCACATGTTTTGCGAGGGAAAAATCATGTTGCATCGTCGGTTCCTCTTCGCAAAATCGACTATAGAGCATGATGACGCGTACTCATACTCAAGGACAGCTTGTATTGATGCAGCTCTTGGAATGCTACAGATCCAACATACTCTAGACGAAGAAACGTGCCCCGGCGGCCAGCTCTTCATGATGCACTGGAGGGTAGGATCTATCATGAACCACCACTTCTTGACAGCCACCATGGTCCTCTGTTCGCTGGTTTACCAAAGGCAAACTTTGGGCCGAGAGAACGAGATATTGACTGCGTTGAGGACTGCTCGCAGCATCTGGATGAGAAAGGCCGAAGACTCAGTTGAAGCGAAGAAGGCATCACAAGCAGTTAGCATCGTCCTTGCGCGAGCTGGCGGTCCGAGGTTCGATGCTACCCTTGTAGCTGACCGGCCTATCCAACTGCTTTCAGAGCCTATCGCAAATTCGAAGGATGCTTTTCTGGAAGGTCTTGTTGGAGATCAAGTCATGCTTGATGAGCAAATATTCTTGACCGAGGCTTTCATGTCAGATGAAAGGGATAACGGTGAGTACGAACTTGAAACACAAATAAAGGTTGAACATTGGAATGGCTGATGGTTTTTACATGCAGGCATGGATCTTTTCTCGCCTTTCAATGGCCTTCCCGACGAGCTACCGGCGGGTACGCTCTGCAGCAAACAATCTGGAGTCCCAGCAAGTCATGGGGACTCAACTATAAGTGAATGGGTGATTATGGGTGATCAAGGACAGTATCAGTGGAGTATTATCAATTTTGCATCAAATATTGGTTCACAGTAAAGTCAATGGTCAAACGTGCAATTTCAGATGCGGAACTGTAGCTATAGAAGCCGAGGTTTCTCTTTGATATGATAATTGGGATCAGACCGTTTGCGATCTCTCCATCATTTTTCTGTTTGCCATTCATCCCCATTCTGACTACCCCGGTGTCCTTAGAGATATCTGGACATCTCAGTGTCTTTGTTTCGAGGAGTCGTCTGCTTCACATAACAGTGCAGAAGGCACACAGCGCTCCAGGGTAGCATCCATCGGCAGGCCTGATACTCTGTCAGATTCGTCTGCTATAGATATCTAATGATTCTAAATACTTACCAGACACCACAGCAAAAGCCATCGTGGTCGATGCAGCCTCCACGCAGATGCATTTGCTCTTGAGTTAGGTCGGATTGCTGTTCTGCTGGAGCGCCAGGGGAAGAGGCAGGTTGAATATATTGCGGACCAGGTTCTTGTTCGTTCTCGCCCGCCATTGAGTATGCAGGTATTGATTGTGATGGAATGTGCGCAGAAATATCTTGTAGCCTAAGGTAGGTATTTGTGTTATCGAGACTTTCCGCAATTGAGAGACAGACGAGAGGGCAATCTTACGGGAAGGTAAGCCCTTTGAGGCTTTATTGACGTGACGTTCTGAATTGAAGTTTTTGGTGAATAAGAAGTGACTGCTGACGTGAATGGTGACATGCATCAGCAGACTGTGAATACATTCACTGTCGAGACGGGAGGAAAGGAACAATATATTCCCGGTGATGCAGGTGTTTTGGAAGGCCTGCCTCCAGAGGCAGTAACAATACTTTCTGTGGTATTTTCCCTTACTTAAAAATATTGATCAACTCCTTCCTCTTCTGTTCTCATACCTTGGTCACATGGTGTTCTCATTAAGGCCAAGTTAAGAGGAGGAAGGAAGCAACGCCCATAGGTTTTAGGCAGGAAGGTTCGGTCAAGTCATTGAAGAATGGAAGGCACAAGGGGTTTCAGTCAATATAGGCAGGGCCTCACAGTAGGTATGAATGAAAGGAGTACCAGAGGTCTTGTCATGAGAGAAACAGAAAATAGGACAATCTTGAGCTCAAAGAAAGAGTCTAAATCACAAGATGGAGCGTGATATACCTATGCGCCTGAATATGTAGAAGGTGACAAGTCATGGCCTCCGGCTAGAATATATTAACTCAATGTTTCATGGTGAAATTTTGTCACGCTTTAGGTATAAAGATTCAGGCAACATATCGATTAGATCTTGCCGCGTTTTATTGAATTTAAGTCATTTATCAAGAACAATTGATGGGTAGGCATACTTCACAGCAAACTTGGCTCACTGGTCGGGCATAGCGGGGCTGGGGCTGTGTTCCAGGTCGCGAATCCTTCGATGGTCAGCTGACAGGCGCGTCAGCGCCGCACCGATCAAGCGTGAGGCACCCGGCGGTGTAACAAGTTACGGAATCTTTGATGGTTGCCTACAGTATAACTGATGCACTTAGGACATATCTAGCAGTCAACATTTCCTATCGACCTTACCCCTATCTAAGCGCGCCCAAGCTAGCTATTCCTGCTAGCAACGCCAGCCATCAAGATATCAACATAAACCACCTTGCTCAGGCTCAAGCATGTCAACTGCAACAGATCAGCAAAATCTGCCACAGGAAGGTGCACGCTACCCGACCAAGTATCGCCGCAACATTCCTAGGTCAAAGAATGGCTGCTTGACATGCCGCGCTAAACGGAAGAAGTGTGACGAACGCAGACCATGTTGCACGTCCTGTGCCCGCACCGGACGGGAATGCACATGGCCTGTATCTGCAGAAGATATCGTCAATAAGAGTACCAGAGACATCCTTCCAAAACAAATACCGTCAACAAATGAAACCTCGGAGAGCAATGGATCTGCTCAGCAGCATACGACGCTACCTAGTCGACCTAGAGCAACTGTTCCGACGACGGCATCTATCCCGGAAGTACTTGAGAACACATCATCTCTGCGCGCATCTCTCACATTTGGGACTCTTTCAAACTTAAGCAGCAGTTCAAGGCCGCTGTATGATCAATACCTCGATATGACCGCGGAGCTACTAGCTCGTGGTCCTAGCGCAGATGGTAACCCGTTTATCAACTATGTGTTACCTCTAGCGGCTTCCGATAGTCTTGTGATGGACTGCGTTCTCGCTATCGGAGGAGCACATATGGCCGTTCTAGAGCCTGATCGCCCGCAGTTGGAAGTCATGACTCGAAGGCATTATGCCCGGCTGCTTGAAGGACTACGAAAAGCGCTTTGTGACGATGCGGCGTGTCCATTTGGCGAACGCGATGAGGACAAGAAGCTCTACACGCTTCTGATTCTCATCATGCTATGCATTTTCGAAGTAAGTCATTTGTCTATTTCTCTTGTCAGCATGTTGCATCCGACTAACCTTGTGCAGGGGGTTCAAGGCGATAACTCGGGGGCCGTCTATCATCATATTCGAGCTAGCCGTCATTACGTGATGGAATTGGCAGCTGACACCTACAAGCCATCAGCTTCAAAGAAGACTGAGCATATCCGTGGCTTTCTCCTGGAGATATATGCCATGTTCGCTCTAAAGTTAGCAGTCACGCCACGAGGCTTGCAGGAGGAGAACCCCGTGACAGTGGATCCCTTCCTCGGCTCTCTAGAATTTCTGGGCCAATTCAAGTCGCGAGGATTCATGCTAGGTTTTGGCCATAGGCTCTTTGCCATGATACCAGATATCTCAAATCTTCTTGAGAAGCGTAGGAGAGAGGAACTGAGTGGATCCACATCCGATGGTCTGTTCGAATCTTACAAGTCACTTCTGAAGAAGCTAGACTCATTGGATCCCTCATCCGACGTTCTTGAAGACGAAGACGCATGCCCTCGCTACCAACAATCAACAGCCGTCGCCATCTACCGCACCGCTCTAATTCTCATCGTCCATTCTGCCTTCCACCAAGATATACATAAGAACGCGGAACTCCTTGCTGAGATCGAATCTCGGATAGACAAGATATTGCCTCTCTGTTGGGCCGTTTATACCAGCAAGTCACCGCTGCGGAGGATGATGCTGTGGCCGGGGTCGATTTTGGCATCCTGTTGTAAGAAGCCAGAGCACGTCCACGCCTTTCGATTGGGACTAAACTCGAATCCGCGATCGCCAGGTGGTGTACGAGAAGCGGCTAAAGCGGTTGAACTGTTGTGGCAAGATGATGATCCGAGAGCTTATGGACCTCGAGGGTTGAACATGGTGATGAAGAAACACGGTCTTAGCTTTAGCATGTGCTGAACGGACTGCTTAGTAATCTGGGTAAATGGGATTCTTCTGGTTAGTAAGTTCATATGTTCTGTAAATATAGAGAGCTGCATTCAGGTACGCAAGTTCTCCGGCCTCCAAAGCGTACCTAAGTAGGTGGCTTACAAATCAGTCGTCCATAAGTGCATGAGTTCGTCCGAAGAAGTCTATAAGCATTATTCATAATCATTGTCTGCTAACGAAGAACAGGTATCGCAAGTCATAAAGGTATCGACGAAAGGCATCCCATCCACCACCTGTACTCCAAGTTTAGCAACCACCACCTCCACCGCCGCCCCCATCACCACCGCCTCCACCTCCGCCACCTCCACCACCTCCATCGCAACCACCCCCTCCCCCATGGTGGCCGCCTCCCCCATGGTGACCACCTCCTCCGTGGTGTCCTCCACCGCCGCCATCACCGCCCCAGCCGAAGCCCCCAGCACTCACTCCCGTGTAGCCCGCGTTATAATCTCTGTGATTTCCGTGCATGCGGCTTCTGCGCCAGCCACCGCTGGAATCATTGACGTAGCCCGGCATGGCACCGTAATTTGGTGTACCGCCCATGGCTGGTCTTGGTGCGTACTCGGAGCCGTTATACGTGTGCTTCTTTGATCGAAATGGGATACACATCTTGAGCGTCAGGAATCCAGGTACCGAGAATCGTATGGAATTTGTTTGTAGTAAGTTGACCTTGACCAGTCCTTTTTGAAGATGACTGCTGTATTTGAGAATTTGGTATGAGTGCTTATTTCGTGTTCCCTTTGAGGTGGACGGAACGGTATGTCTATGTGATGAGATTGATATTGATGATGATGCAGATGTAGATACAGAGTAGATGGAAGGGACTGATGGCTTAAGTAGAATATCGAGTGATGGTAGACAAAGTGAGGCCAAGTTTCCTGCCTATCCTACCAGTGTGCCTGCTAGGGGCGAAGAAACAAGCTTCGATGGAAGCCACGATCACCGGGAAGTCTGCCTTCCAGAAGGCTTCTAGCGGCGCGAAGGATCATGGAATATCCAGGATGAGCTCATAAAACTCCGAATAAGCGAATCGCAGGGTCCTGAAAGCTGTCACCTAAATCAGCCTTGCAATGAGCGACTTTCTGCCGCCCTGGGGACTTACGCAAAAGGGTAAGACGATGTACACTGATTTCAATCATCTGACCGGAGGGAGTGGATTCACGGGGCAGTTCCGCGTTGTGGGGCTCTTGCGGATTCCTGGAGGCAGGGAGCGGGGACGAGCTAGCCGGAGCGGGGCCGGATCGGCGTCGTTGGCGAATGACGTAGCTCTACTGGCATAGCCGGGCACCGGGGCGCAGCGCACACAGCCTATGTACTGTGTATGCATTCAGCCCGCGATGATCAGCTGCACTCTCAGACCAACTACGTCATGCTTGGATCTGTCAAGCGATCAGTAGGGCCACGTGAGGGTGAGATGACTTGTCTTGCTGTAAGACTCACAGCTTCCCGCGGCCCGCTTTGCAGGCTGCAGGATTGAAGATATCACTGGAGGCTGGCTTATCATACACCGACGTTGAGATGTATGAGTGGTTTTGTTCAATTTGTTCTTGTAGAAATAAGCGTTGCTAATAATATGGCTTGAATGTTGGACGACCTCTCACTCTGCTGCTTCTACTGACTTTCTTGCTCCCGGCATGATCCACCCAACAGTCACTAGATAGGAACACCGTCCCGGTCCCTCTCTATCCTTGGATTTTTAGGCGTATTTGAATCGGACGAGAACTTGTCTTTGATTGACTGGACAATGCTCTCTGTGCGAGACGGACCCTCAACTTCGCGTCGCTGCTCTTTCTCGGCTCTGCGCTCAGCCTTTTTTGCTGCTTTGAAATCGGCGGGACCGGGCTCAAACGCGGGGCCGGGGCCTTTGTGTGTAGGCCGCCTGTTGGATGCTTCAATGCCAGCGGTGAGAGGAATGCCGGACATTTTGAAAGTGAAACTTCTAGTCGGCGCGGTTGAAGTTTGGACAGTGCTATTGTACCTTCCGGTTGTGAAAAATTTGGCTCTAGACTGGACTATGAAGCGTGATGCTGTTGTGAAGAAGATTCTTTTGCCCCGATGAATCGGTATTGAAGAGTTGTCGAAATGACAAAGTTTCTCGCCCGAAAAGGGATTATAAGATGGGGGCCTAGGTCAATTTGTGCAAAATCATTGAGAGACTCCGCGGCTGCTCTCCTGACTGGAGTTTGGTGCTACGGTCTCACCGCCATGCGCAGCCAAGAACATCTACGTATCTGTATGACGCGAGTAGAGTCCCCTTGTACCAAATGTGGCATCACCTTGATCTACGTCTCGAATACTTGTTAGAATAGCCCTGCATCAAAGGCTACCACCATTGATCATGAATCTCAATCAAAATATGTCGTCTTGACACCCTTGATGACTTCTAGATCATTGACCGAATTGTCACCATTGGACTGACTCGTGGCACCGATGTTCTTGATTATCCTCTCCCTCACCCACTCTCCTGCCTTCACAGGCTTACCGTCACTTCCAAGTACCGTGCCCTCAGAGAGGCCAAGCTTCTGTAGAACGGGAGACTCCTTAATCGGGACCAGGTCCGTATCATCTTCTATGCGAACCATGTAAATAACTCCCAGACGATCGATATGTGCTTGGTCTTTCGGAGGCGCTACGACTCTGTGGATGCTTGACTTAAGGTACCCGTCTATGGCGGTGTCAATGACTACGGCGTTTAGAAGGCATCGAAAACAGGTCAACTTACTTGTGAGGAATTGCAGCGCATCAGCAATGTTCACTGTCAGCGCGTCCGTCTGCGGGCGCACCCACTTCCAGGTCCCGTCGTTCGTGAGGACCTGGAGCGCAGCGACAGGTTGCCGAAAGAGCAATGTCAGACTGCCCATATCCGAGTGTCTTCAATTTCTTTGTTAGTATTGGGCACATGCTATTGGGGCGGACAGAAAGCATTTCTTCCAGGAGACATTCTTACCCCTTCAGCCAAACACCACCCAGCTTTCGATTCTCCTCCTCGGTTCTCGCGTAATACTTCATGTATCGGAGATGGTCGCCGCTAGACTTCTCGTAACGATGCTTCTTGACGAACCACTCCTCGTCCTCAAGACCAAGTGCCAGCGCAAATATGACGAGAAGCTTCCGGATAATCTCGTCGTTGACGTATCGGGAGAACTGCTCGATTGACGCGAAGTTCTCTGTGACTACATCGGGGTGCGGTCGTGACGCATGCTCCGAGATGAACTTTGGGATGTTGTAAATCTCGAAGTTGTCCCGGACGCCTGGGATCAGCTCTCTGGTGCCTGGGGGCTTCCAACCATTGAAATCGCCGGCCTCAAGTGCTGCTCTGTATGGTGCCTTGTCTTCGTCCGACAGACTGAGAACGGACGAGGCCAGAGCATACTGCTGATCGATGGCTTCCCGACTGAGACCATGGTTGATGATGTAAAAGAAGCCTTAAAAGTGGAATATCAGCTTTAACTGTCTAATGAATTTGATGATGAAACAGTAATGCATGCGTTGTGATCGTACCTATCTGTTCAATCGCTCTCGTGAATTCTTCTGCAAGCTCCTCTTTACCCCCGGACTTGTCAAATTTGGATAGGTCCAAGGCCACCAGATCTGCCCAATCTAGCTGCTCGCTTGTCTCGGTAGCTTGAATGTAAGGTACATGGACTGGAGCTGTCTTTGAGGTCGTGGTTGTCATCTTGAAGGGAGGACGAGGGAACTTGTAGTTACCTAGGGGCTCGCTACGCCGAGACTGGCAGGTCTCTTGCTTCTTATCTTAATAGCGCGTGAGGTTCAATGAACAGTAATACATGTAGCCCTTCTGCAGCAGACATCCCTCCCCTATTCCAATTTCGTGAACTGAGGATGGTTTCGTTGCAACGCCTTTGCGCTGCAGGGGTTTAGCCAAAGTATTGGTAATCCCATTGTCAAGTCTAGATTTCACCGAATGAGAATCTCGATCCTTTGAAAACAGAGGAAAGCCGATGTCGGGATATTACTATCGGACCACAGATACCGAGGCTTTCGGTTACATGTCCATAGATGTGCCGTCTGATCTTGAAGCTGGTCCCTGGCAGAGGATGCATCGCTGTGGGGCCGAAGTATTCGTCAGGAAGGATCCAGATGAGGCAATCTGTCAATGCTGTGTCGAGGCATTCTTGGGAATGGCGTGGACAGGCCAAGATTTTGGAGTCGCAAGGATTAATCTGTTAGTCTTGACTGTTGTTTCTGCACGCGTTGCTGCCTGTACTCAGAAAACTCTCATCAAGGGTGGCCTCAAACAACCGAATGCCTCCAAACTATTGACACCGACGTCCTTCCCACAAGAATCTGCAATCATCAAAATGACAAACGATACTACTAGGGATAGCCGCCATACGGCTCTTGACGATGGATCATTCACAGTATCAGGAGCATATGACAAATATGCACCTAGTCAGGCGGTCAAACTGGAGACAATTGGCGAGGAAGCTCTTGCCATTGATCTTGTCATTGAGAAGAGGGTGCTCCAGAAAATCGATCTCTTCTTGATGCCAGCCATGGTCATAGGTAATTGCAGCAAAGTACCCAAAACTCTCAGTAACAGGTCGGGCGCGATGCTGACATGAAACGATGCGATCAAGGCTATGGTTTGGTTTACTATGATAAGGTGGGCACTTAAGAAGGCTTCTTGAACACTTGAACAAGACTCACAGCTGCGTATAGGCAATTCTTGGAAGTGCTGCGTTATTCGGAATGACTGATGACCTGCATCTTTCAGTTGTCGATACCTCTTTCACCCCGCCAAAGACCGACACAACACGACTAAGTTGGGCAACTTCGATATTCTACTTTGGTCAGCTGATAGGTTCGTATCCAATGACGTATCTCCTTCAACGCTTCAATACCAGATGGACACTTGGCCCCGTGGTCATGATTTGGGCAGTCATTTGTGCTGCGACAGCGGGAGTGACGACTTGGCAAGGTCTCCTGGTTCAAAGATTCTTCTTGGGTGAGGAGCCATCATCCCACGAGTTATTGAATAGCGATGGAGTTTGAGTAGAGACTGAAGTGACGCTCATCATGTGATATAGGTTTCACCGAGTCTGTCATTCCAACAGCTTTCATGACTACCGTCAGCGGCTATTACACCCAAAGAGAACAAGCACTCCGCCAGAGTTGGTGGTTTTCCGGAACTGGCTGGTTCACCATCATTGGAAGCGCTCTCAACTACGGATTCGCCCAAATACAAGGAGGCGCGTTGACTCCATGGCAGTACATCTATGTACTTGCTGGAGGCTTAACGTTCCTATTTGGTATTTGGTGTTTCTTCCTTCCCAACTCTCCCCTGACCGCCTGGTTTCTCACTCCGGAAGAGCGAGCTGTCGCAATTGAGAGATTGCGTCAGGGACAAACTGGAGTTAAGAATCAAACTATCAAGACTGCTCAGATCAAGGAAGCGCTACTGGACGTCAAGGTCTGGCTAGTCGCCTTGACCATGGCCTCGGGGTAAGAGGAGTTCAAAATCTCCCCTCGAATGCGCAAACTAACTGGCTATCAGGTACACAGTCAATGGAGCTGTATCTGGGTTCGGTCCCCTCATCGTTTCGACGTTCGGATACTCGGCTTTAGACAGCATCCTTTTTCAATTCCCGCTAGGTGCAATTTGCGCCATTGGTATCCCCGTCGCTGGATGGCTGTGCTCCAAATACCGCAATATCCGGATCCCAGTACTGATAGGATGCACTCTCCCAGTCATTGCGGGCTTTATCATTATATGGAAGTCAGACTGGGGCCATCGTCCCATCGCCCCTGTTGTCGGATACTCACTTATTGGCTTCTTTGGGCCGGTCGTCAGCTTGACGGTCACCCTTGGGGCCAGTAACGTTGCAGGAGAAACCAAGAAGAGCTTCATGGCTTCTGCCGTATTTGTCGCATATTGCGTTGGAAACATAGTTGGGCCTCAGCTTGTGAAGAGCGAGACTAAACCCCAACATTATCCTCAGCTATGGACGGGGTTGATTATTTGGTATGTCAAAAGCCGACCTAGGCAACATCTTTTCAACTCCTCTAACACCGGTTTCCTAGCTACTGCGTCACTATTCTGTCTTCTTTGGGCCTCTATTTTATCCTCTATAGAGAAAACAGGAGACGGGATGCTCTCGGTCTAGACGAAAGTGAGCGGGATAGACTCGCATTCAAGGACTTGACCGATAAGGAAAATGAGCACTTTAGATACGTTCTGTAGGAACTACATTCCGCCATTTACATATTCAAATACGACCTCCCAAGTATTTGTGGTTCCAATTGTCGAGGACTCTATTCCATCCCGTTCACTGCCGTCGTTGAGTGTACCTGTTTTGGAATGCTAAGTCTGATCAGTATAATTTTGGCTGTAGATCAATAACCACACATTACCTTAGTATGAGCCCCTCTTTCGCGATAGGAAAGGCTCCGTTGCATGTTCTTGTTCTGTCTGGACGAAACGAGCGACAACACGCGCATCCAGTCTACTTAGCGCAAGGACAAGTCCCGCGTTGCGTTTTCTTCAAGGGTTGTGATGCAATCACAGAAGGACTCCACCCTGACCAGTTATGTTGGTAAGCTACGCATGTTGATCGAGAGAGCTTATCACGACATCTCGGACTGTGTCCGACATGAGCTGATGCCGCAGCCGATATCGCCAATGGACGCTCGGGAATTAGCTCACTGTTCGATGAGACAATTCGAATGGAACGAGACCGGCGTGGGATTGTTTCTTACAAGCACCGCTGCGTATTGACAACGATTGCTCTCAACTAAGGTTAGCCTTCGTGAATGTTCAATTCAGCTTCTAGAAATCCCGACGATTCAGGATGCCTGAGGAAATTCGGAGGGTCGCAGTCATTGGCGCCGGCCCGGCTGGAGCCATCGCAACGGACGCTTTGGTGAAGGAACAGGCGTTTGATGTTGTACGCGTCTTCGAACGGCGCGACTTGGCTGGAGGGACATGGTGAGCATATCCCTGAGGGCTATTATCCTCATATCCGTTGTGAATCGAATGAGATCTGACCTGTGTGTCTATACATGTAGGGTCTACACTCCGGAACTGCCACCCCGGATCCCTTCCTTGCGCGCATTAGTCAAACAACGCGCAAATGCGCCAATTGAAATCCCTCAAAGCTTCCCTACAGAAACTCCGAGATCCGAAAAGAACAATTCTCATCAGTTACGGTATTCGGACACGGGTATTCATGAGACGCTGCACAGTAATATCACTCCCGAAATCATGGCGTTTACGCAGGAGCCGATACCTCAGGTCCTATCCGACCGAACATTGGCACAATACGGCCCGGGCGCTCCATTCAGGCATCGAGAATTGATAAGAGAATGGGTCGAGGGGATTTTCACTCGAGGAGGGCACGATAAGTTGATTGAGTTCAGCACCACGGTTGAACTTGCAGAAAAAAGGGGTGACGAATGGGTCCTCACGTTGCGAAAGGTTGTACCCGGAAAGTCGAAGGACTACTGGTGGCAAGAAACTTTCGATGCAGTGGTTGTGGCATCAGGTCACTTTTACTTGCCTTATATCCCCGAAATCCCCGGTCTTGTCGAATTCAACGAGAAATTTGCAGGCAGAATCAAGCATAGCAAGCATTTCCGTGACCCGGAAGAGTTCCGAGGAAAAGTATGCCGTCTTTCGTACATTTGATATATTGAGATCTGAGCTGACTATTCACAGAGAGTTATTGTTGTCGGCGGCTCCGTGTCTGCGTTTGATGCGCTCCACGATATTCGGCTGGTGTCTCAAAAGCCAGTCATTGCATCACTTAGAGAACCCCTGGCCGCATTCGGGTGGGCGCCCTTTACGCACCCCGATATCACGATCAAGCCGCAGATCACTAATTTCTGTCCAAAAAGTGGACGCATTACGTTCAGCGATGGAAGTACCGTGGATGAAGTTGACACTGTCGTCTTTGCAACCGGTTATGACTTCAGCTTCCCATTCTTGCCCAAGCAGAAGGTGGAGAATAGACGAGTGCCGGGACTTTACCAGCATGTCTTCAATATCGACGACCCAACCCTTGCATTTATTGGGATGGTACGTCTTGATATCAGTAGAACTTCGTGCCTGGAGCTCATGTACTGACTCTATCGTGCAGGTCACGGGCGGCTTTACTTTCCGCGTCTTTGAGTGGCAAGCCGTTGCAGCGGCACGAGTCTTCGCGAGCCGCGGGAAATTGCCCCCTCGAATTGAGCAAGAAAAGTGGGAGAAGAAGAGGTTGGAGTACAAGGGTGATGGCATTCCCTTCTTCACTCTGTCGCCCGACTTCGAACAATACTTTGAAGCATTGCGGGCAATTGCCGGCGAGCCTGTGCAAGGAACTAAAGGCAGATTGCTGCCAAAGTTCGACCCTAAATGGCTTGAAGCGTTTTCTGAAGTTATCAACGCCAGGGTTGAGTGGTGGAAGAAGGAGACAAAGAAGGCAGAAGCGCAATCAAAGCTTGAGTTCAAGTCGAAGCTGTAGGGCAAAAAATGTGGTATTGTTAACTAATTAGGCTGTTTCAATCTTGTCGTGTTTTGAAAGCGTCCATGCTAATGTCAAACATGCGAGAAAGATTCCTTAATCGATGCTGGGTGCGGTGATCCACGTGCCCATTGAGATACCCTCTCACACTGTCTTCCGAGGCGTCAACCTCACGTTCAGAGGACCCTTCTTCCACAAACCAAACAGCTGCTGATCAGTCCAGTTCTTGCTGTCGTCTGCGACTTGCATGTCAAAGTTCCAGATGACTCTGGCAAGAATTACTCGCATTTCGGACATGGCCAGGCTGCAAAGGTCAAGTTAACACAAGTTTCGTGTCGTGCATCTTGTTTCAATGGCTTAACTTACTTCCTACCAATGCAGTTCCTGGGACCGAAAGAGAATGGCTGAAGAGCAGCTTTATCGTCGTTCTCGAAGCGGGAGTCTTCAAGCCATCTCTCCGGGATGAAAGAATCGGGCTCTGCGAAGTACTTATCGTTGTGGTACATGGGCCACTGGGAGACCATCACTCGCGTCTGTTGGTTTTTTGTCAGCAACGTGATCTGTTTAGATCTGCAGTTGTTTTGAAGACACTTACACCCGCCGGCACGAACCTTTCGCAGATGTAGTCGCCGCCCGGCTTGACAACTCGAGTGAGACCCATGGGTACGACTGGGTAAACGCGCATGCTCTCATCGAGGACTGCGAGCATGTAGCGGAGTTTCTGAACACTGAGAACATCGATTTCTTGCTCTGAGTTGAATGATGTGCGGACTTCTTGTGCCAATTTGGCCATGGCTTCGGGATGCATCGTTAGGAAGTAAGTTACTCCTGAAAGCACAGATGCCGTTGTTTCAGAGCCTGCAATGATCAAGGTGTCTGCGGTTTGCTCAATTTCCGGCTTTGACATCGCCTAAACAAATGTTCCGTCAGTTTCGGTACCCAGGGACAATGAGACATGCTAGGGACTACACGTACCAAAGGGCCCTCCTTCATCATCATAGACTGGACGAAGTCCGGCCTTGACTCGCCGAGTGCCATACGGCGTTGAACCTTCTCCTGGCTCATGTCATTGTGGAACTTTGTCTTGTTCTTCAACTCTTTCGGAATCAACCACCTGGCAAATGGGCGTGTAATCCAGTATCGCTGGAACTGATTTCTCCATACACCGGCATGGATGTTGTCGAAAATGATTGATACCCACGGGTGATAGTCCGAGTTCTCCAGACAACCAAAGGGTTCGCCAAAGGCCAGGTCACCAATGATGTCAAAAGTCGTCCAATTATACCACGAAACCATATTCAGCGCTTTCTCTCCGTCATCACAGTTCTCATGAAGTCGCCGGATTAATAAGTCGATCTGAGCTTGAATCAGGGGTTGCTGATCGACCATAGCCTGAGCGGAAAATCCGTGGGCTAGAACGCGGCGAATACGTGCGTGATCCTCGCGGCCGGAGTTGATGATGCTGTGCGGCTTGTACCTAGCATTGACAGGGTCTTTGTAGTTCTCCATGCCACCACCGCCCTTGCTGTGGCCCATCAAGTCCTTGAAAGCCCGCGGGTCGGCCCAGTCGATTGTATCTGGGCCGAGCCTGACCACAGGTCCATATTGCTTGTGAAGCTCTGCCAGTCTCTTGTGAGCTTTACCGCTGGTGATCATTCGACTGAGCGGGATACGGGTAGCGGCGTGGAGCTTCGGCCCAGGGTACTCTTTCAGTGGGTGGAAGTAAATGTTGTAAACCATCCTCGAGATCAGACGGAAAACACCCTGCATCAGCAATTAGCATGTGACGTCCTAGTATCAATGGCTCAATGCCGCGGTATCTACCAAAGCAAAGAGGACAATAGGCAATGCGACCGCCAGTCGTACATTGCCCAAGCTCGAGATATCGTGTGGTATAATCATATCGAGTGCTGTAGTGTTGTCGGCAGGCCGTCCTATGATTGATGACTTAGTTCTGACGATAAGAAAAGTCTTTCTGCCAATAGTTCCCCGTTCTATCAGCAGGATGGCGAGCAGCTTATATCTGCCCAAATGCAGACGAACAACTTGTGCCCGGGTTCATGCTCGCCGAAGACGCGAAAGACACGTTTACGACCGGAGCCGAGCACGCCCCGGGGATGAACGGTGTAACCTCCAACCAATCGAAGCAACACGGCTTCCCGTCCGATGATCTCTGGTGACGTTATACTGGGCGACGTCGAGGCGGGGGAGCTGTGTTTGTTGGGGGCTTGAGCGTAGAACGGCATTTGGGATGGTGGGACGCCGCGTTTCATAGCGACACACATCTGACGGTGCCAGCCATGAGACCGCGGATTTCGGGATGCTGAAGGGTTCCGGGTAATGGGCCAATGTTTGTCCTTGCCTTATTCATTCGACTCGTCGAACGTCTTCAGTGTGTGGTGTTGGTACGAGCGAGGGTCCGAATGCGAATGCTGAAATACGATGTGTGTGGCAAGAGCCGTTTGGGGACAGGATTGCATTGATGTGGACGCGAGTCGTTTAGATGACAGCTCCTTACGCCACGGACGACGGAGAGCTCGATGATTTTGAGGGTCGTGGACTCGCGGCCCCCCGGACGAGCGTTGCCGATGCAGCACGGAGTGCATATGCAAGGGCACGGCGCGGGTTTGGGAGAGAAGTCAGACTCTCCGCCGGCAGGAATTGGAGATTTCTTCGGCGCCGAATAGTCTTCTCCGTGACACCGATGCTCGGGTTGCTAGAGAGCTACAGTGTGTGGCAACGTTGCTGACCGGTGTCAAGATCGACAAGGTTGTGCCACCATCACAAAGTTGTGTTCAGCTGAGGCGATGTTAACTGCTAATGCTCGTTGTAAGTTACGCGGACCGGCGGCTGATATATCCAGTGTAACTCACCCTAAAAGGCGTTTACATGTTGGCAATGCGACGCCTCTTTGAGCACGGCTAAGGCCGTCCACATGGAGAGTTCAGTTGAGCCGCCATAATACCTAGACCATCAGACTTTGATAACTCCATACGGTAGGAGGTAATAGATCCACTGAAAGGCCGCTCGTATTGTGGCCCTTGGAATGTGGCTCGGTGTCAAATTGTCAGAGTTTAGTGGCGGATTTGCCTGCCGTTATATTTTAGCTCGAGACTGAAGGTTTGTCGGGGAGGTTCCCTTGAATTTAAGGGTTCTGAAAAGACCGGAACACTGTCGTGATCTAACCTAGAATGTTCAGTTAGCTGATGAATATCGGAAAATATATCGTCAGATGCTAGACTGTGGCCACCTGGGAGTCTCTGCAACTTCTATTCGCATCACTTATTTTCAGTCTCAGGCTCGCTAAGGTGACAATTATGGACGCTATGGCCAGTTGATCCTGGCAGGGAATGCTGCTGACTACACAGCATCAATCAACAGACCCATGAGCTCTTCTCAACACTTGACAGCTTGGCGACACGTGATGAGACACTTCCAGATTCATCGCAATCTCAGGGGGTTCGCAATCCTCGGATACGAGGTCTCGATAGGGAGTAGCCTCAACGATAGTCCGCTTCTTCGTCTTTTCATCGACACTCGCTAGAAGTCACAACCACAAGTCTCGTACCAGCGAGTTGTGAAGGGCTTCCCCAGGAACATTGCGTCCCCGCAGCGTTCAAGAGGATCTGAGTGACCGGCAACGCCGGCCGAAGAGTCATGGAGACCGCTTTCAAGCGCAAACCCCTGCCGGGCCCTCCGCCAGGTCCGCCGCCGCCTCCGGATTTCGACCCCTTTCCCCAACGTCAACGCCCTCTCCGCGCCGCTCGGTCGACGCCAAACATTCGGCAGTCTGTAGCGACATCAATCTACGATCCACCGCCAGCGTATGAGGAGTTCCCTGGAGTCGACGCTAACGGTCGCCTGGCTTTCGCCGCTCCTGTACCGGACTTCAGACCTGGGAGGATTCCATCGCCAGGTCCTGCAATCCCAGCACCACATTTTTCTCCCAGTGTTTCTCCCGTTGCTGCTCACAAAGATTACCTACCTTATCGACCATCACCATCGCCATCACCGTCGCTTGTAGCAGGTGGTAAGGACTCGCCCGCGCCGTCCATTCCAGGGCCGTCCTTTCCTGGCCCTTCAACAGCCCAAACGTTTCCGGTGGCAGGTCATCGTCCTTCTCCATCGCCCACACAGTCTAGCCCTGGATCTTTCGTCCCTGGTCCTCCCGCAACAGCAGAGACGTTTCCACTGGCACATCGACCCCCTTTATCACCCAATTACACCCCATCAGAAACCGTATCAACAGAGTCTCAATTGAAAGAAAAGACTTTCTGGCAAACCGCCCTAGACGAGACAAAGTATTTCGCGGGCGGGCTGATAAGTCATCCGTTCGAGTACACCAAGCACTACTCCATCCTCCGCCACTCGGGCGCGCTCGTATGGTACCGCGGCCCCTCAACCTCCATCACCATCACAATCTTCTCCGATGCTCCTCTGCCACCAACCCGGACAGTATGGCTGCAGCAGAAGGGCTTCTCAGGCAACATGGGCATGAACCTGAAGTCTCTGGTTGGCGCAAACACATCATGGCTCGACGTGACGCCTTCTATGCAGGGGACACCCGCGGCCATGACCGAGGGCGATGAGAGGGGCTGTCTGCGCGACTTGAAGAAGTTTCTCAAAAAGGCACCCAAGAATCTGGCAAAGCATATGCCCAGAGAGACACACGTCGTGCGCATACCCGCGGCCGCCGATGATGGGTACTTCCGGCTCGTGCTATGCACTGGAGGCGGTGGTGACGGGGTCAAGAGGAAGGTTCTTTGCCCAAGCCCCGTCTTCCGTGTTGCGAGTACGTCTACGGATATGAGTGTTACACGCGGCGCGAGCTTTGCCAGCATGCCTCTGGAGCTAGGGATCAAGGCCGGGTCTGTCGTAGCCACGACTGTCGTCAATAGGTATATCGGACCAGCTGCCGCTGTGGTCCAGTCTAGAACGAAGAAGATCTCGCAAGCAAAGTTTGTGACGAAGCACGCCGCTCATATCGCTTACGCAAAGTCGGGCATAGAAAAGTCCGGCATCAAGACGCATGTCACGGCATACGAGGAACAGTATGCCTCCACAAGGAGTGGGGGATACGACGCCTGGCAGTCCGGTGAAGCTGGGTTCCAAGAAGCCCCTCCTGAAGTAATTGGTCCCGACTCCGGTCCTACCGATCCATTTCCAATCAAGTTCGACGGCAAAATTGTCCGCGGTACAGGAAGAGGAGGGATGGAACTGGGCATCCCGACAGCGAACCTCGAGGGTATACCAGAAGACGTGAGGATGCGAATGCGTGGCGTTTACTTCGGCTGGGCGAGGGTCGTTCCCCGATCCGGACTGGAAGCGATATCGACAGACTGGCACGAGAGCATCATCACCGTCGGCCCCGCACCGTATGCTACACCACGTGTAGCCGCTAAGAACGTCGCCACGGTTCACCTGATCCACGAGTTTGGCGGCGCTCTGTTCCTCGACACAAAGCTCAAGGTTCTCGTCATGGGCCAGTTGCGGATGGCTGCGCCTCCCGTTGCTGGCTCTGAAGCCGCGCTTGAGGCCTACGGGGCGGATGTATTGCTCACTGTGGCTAGTCTGAGCCGTGACAGCTGGTGTCCTATCGAGACGCGGGAGAGGATGAGAACCATGCGGAGCGAGATGAGCTTGGCTGATCGGTATGTTGAGACGAGAGACAGAGTTCAGAAACAGGTAGACCGTATGCCGGTTCACTTGGCTGGGGTGAGAACGGAGGGTGCTGCCTTGAGAGACCGGGCATACGGGAATGGAGGAATTTGGATCCCGAGATGATCTAGATGCTCATTGAGCGATGGACGGGACGCGTAATGTTCACCTGTCGACACCGGGCGTGTAGACTCCTTGTTACCTATTAGACATTTAATATCTTTCATACACTTAGGCAGGCAGGTACCGAACGTAAGGTACCTTCCACGCGTGTATCTGTATACTGATCTCGCCTACACGTATACGCCACCCACAATACCCGTATATGTCCCAACAATTCCAATCCGATCACCAGTCAGTAGGCGCCCCTCTAGGTCGGGGGGTCAGGTCAAACTGGCTGGGTGGTGGAAGGGTTACAGGTCCGACATTCAACACGCCCATAGCCTACTCGACGACAGGCTCCGAGTTCGATTCCCAGCGTGAGCGCCAAGAGATGTAGCCACACCGGTGGTGAACTCTTTTTTTGATCTTCTCGAATTCTTAATGCCTCAAAGGAAAAGAATCTGCTCTTCATGACGGGCTGATTTGGCAATCAAATTAAATTACACTATAAAAAACTCCAAAACATCTACTAGATAGTCCATCCAATTGAGCATTCGTTCCACTCTCCTCATCTCGCAGCGAAATCTTCACCTATCTCTCTGACTTTCTTTCATTATTAGCCTGAAATATATATCACACCGATTCTACCTGAGGTAGTACGTTGTTCTTGATGGCATCCCAGCAGTGATCGCAAAGCTTATGACTCTTTATGTCATCGATCGTCTCAGCGACCTGTCGAACGGATTGTTAGCATATTGATGGCTCCGCCGTATGAGACGGCAACGATCGACTGGTACAGCATAGGGATGACTCACTTCAGCCAGGCAGCCAAGCTTTTCCTTCTTGCCAACCTTTCCAATGCCTTTGGTACCCACAACTTCAATGAGGCACTTGACAGATGTGAAGCCGAGCTCCACTCCGCATCTCACGACGTTGCATCCGTCGACCACAAGTTGGTCGTCACTTGCGAGCAGTTCCTGTTCAGCTTCATCGAGCTGATCCCATACAAATTTTCCGGCTTCGCTCAAAGCGTTAACAACATCAGAGAAGAAGTCCAGGATGTCATCAAAAATTCCCGGAACTGGAGCGGGTGCTGGTTTGGGAGACCGCGCTGTGTAGTTGGGTGCAAGCCCTGTTGAGAGAGAAAGCATGGAGAGTAAGGCAACGAAAAAGGTAAAGGTCTTCATCTTGTGTGTAGTACAACTTTTTGGTTTGGTTATCGAAGCAGTGTTTGGTTTTGTTGCAGCTCTAGGCTGATTTGTATGAGTTTATGGTCTTCGTCGTCGCAGAGGAATGCTCGCCCTTTATGTCAAGATCCTCCTACCCTCTCTTCATATTGGTTGTGCACTTCTCGTGCCTAAGATGACCTATTTTGAGACCAATAAACTTCAGACTATCGCGCATGAGATTTCCTATCAACTCCAATGTTTTCCATCACGCGCGAAGCCGTTATCTCCTATTTTTGCCAGAGCCTGCTTTCAAGCTGAGCTCTCAAATGCGGTTCTTTCCCTATGCGTCCGCAAAAGGGGCTGTGCGGATCCTTCACAACGAGGCTGCGATGAATCGGATGAGTGCTTGCATGTAAGCGCCGAAGACACTACGACAATGCATGTAAACTCCTGTTGGTATCCGCTTGCATGGTATGACAGGTATACTTGAGTGTTTCTAAGCTATTGCAAAAGGTTTTTCCAGAGCCTTACGATGGCACGTTCTCAGGCACCGGTACTTCATTCGAAACACGGCGACGATGTGCTTTGAAATCACGTTAATACCTCAACTGTACATGATTCTTCATGTGTTCTCAGGTCTCAGTTACAGCCTGTAGGCTTTGATGCCACACGTAGCCTGCGCAGAAGGGGCTGTGTGACGTGTAAAAGCTAGGCGCGTACCTGCATGTACTTCGATGTTGCAGGTTGGATGCACAACGTCCGCTCCGGGCGTAGAGGTGTTACCAACATACAGGCCAGATACTTACAGCTATGTATACAGCTATGTACCTTTCGTGAATAACACCAGTCTGGACCGTATGGTCTAATTGGGCAGGTTTGTTGGTCACTACCACATGTACTCTTGAGTCTTGACCGCAGTAGCGGGCCAGCCCTTCACCATTGAGCGATGCCAGGCTCCTACATAGGGGTAGAAAACGCAAATCAGCCTAAATCATTGTCTCTAAACTTCCTCAGTCTCTAATATCTATAATAAACTACTTCAATTACTGGCTCTAGTTCTTGCAGTCTACTAGACTGCACCAATCTGTAATGAAAATTCTAGTCATTAACCTTCTCTCCCAGAATCAGCAAACTCGCTGAAGGGCGCAACAGCGTCAACGTATCTGTGAAACCTGGCATTGCAATTGCTGACTTGTAAGTAACGAGTTGTAACAGGCGTAAAATGAGTAGGCCATGCGCATATCCCAAGTCCTCACCTGACCATGTTAGGCTGGTGGCCGACCGCAAATAAACTAAAAACCGCGCGACTTAAGCAGTCACAAACCTACTCCTTTGTCTCAACTTTCCGCCATACTTGAACAGAAGCCAAGGGATCGGTATCAGAGGGAGTGAGAGGAACGCAAATACGCTGCCAGCCCAGTGCACGCCAAGCTTCTCATACATCTGGAGGGTGAACAAGGGGAAGACAGCACCCAGAATGTATCGAAGGATTCCATTTGCGGCCAGGGCTGAGGATGATGTTAGAATCACTTCCAACGAAATGAAAAGCTTCCAGAAAGAGGTACATCCACTTACCAGATGCCGCGGCCTTTTGGCCATAAAAGTCGACCATGTAGGTGATGACAGACAACTTTGATGAGTTAGTTACGCCCTCCGTTTCGGATCGGAAGCCTTATTACTCACGAATAGACAAAAGGCGCCGAGCCCGAATGGGATACCAGCCGCGACCAAGGCGGCCCAGTGACCCCCACGATGAGCTTCCCATGCATACCAGAATAATCCAGCAGGGAGAGCAACACTACCCACGAGCGCCGCATACAGTCGCTGCTCGGGAAAACCTTTGCCGGCTTGCACAGCAGGTATTCTGAACTTGGCATCGAGGAAAGCAAAAACAAAGGTTGCGAGGAAATAGCCAATGATGATGCTAAGGAAGCTTAATCCAACTTCTCTCAAATTGAAACCGTAGTACTTCTGGAGCACGTAGGAGCAGCTGCCGAAATAGCTGAAGATCATGGCATAGGCAAAAGCTGTGTAGATGGCCAGCGAGGAGACAATAACCTCAGTGAGGAGCATCTTTGTCGGTCTCATAACGGCGACTCGAATAATGCTGCCAAGTCGCGCGAAAGTGATGGGCTCTTCCCCTGACTCTTTGCGCAGGATCCAGGCTTTTGATGTCTCTTTCATCAATATAGCCCCGACCCAGATGGGAGCACCAACCATGAGGAGAACATATTGCGTCCATCTCCAGTCGTTGTCTCTGTCGTGTATGATATAAGCTCCAGCCAAAGGCCCCAAAGTCGGTCCCAAAAACGGGCCAAGGATGTACAACAGTGATGCGCCAGCTCCCTTGCCGAGTTCCCAAACATCGGCAATGGTTCCTGCGCCGACAGCGATGCCGGCAGAGCCCAGCGTTCCAGCTATGAAGCGGCAGGCGAGAAGTCCAGAGAATGTTGTCACCGCCGACGCACCTCCAAGGAATGCGAGGAGGAAAGTGCAGGATCCGGCGTAGATCCACTTGCGACCGATTACTTCAGAGAACGGGGCGATGAAGAGGGGACCGATGGCGAGACCGAGTGTATAGAGCGTCAGAGGGAGGATGGATTTCGTGCGTGAGACGGAGAACTCGTCCATTATTAGGCTGGTCGCGGGGACTGTAATTGAGGTTGCGAACGTGCTGCAAGATTTCCCATGTCAGATTAGATTATATCGAAGGCATTATTAGGGAAGAAACCGACATTTCGAACGCCAAGAAGCATGGGATCGCAGTGTGAAAGAGCCTGGAAAGAAAACTCCAGTTCTTGGGGTTTCTCGACTCACGAGGGTCGTCCCATGCGAGTTGCTGTTGACCACCATCTTCGGAAGAAGTGCTGTCCTCACCTGCCCTTTTCTCAACATCTTTTTCTGGTCGGTCCATTACTGGAGGTTTGATGGAAGATTCTTGGCTTGTTGTGCTCATTTCGGCAGCAATAATCATGCATTAGAGACACTGCCGCTGATTCTTGTGATGAGGGGATGCTTGAGTAATCCAAAAACCCAGTGCCACGGCCCTGGGATAGGGAGATCTATATACCAGGCAGACTCTGGCGAAGATCTGTTAAGTTGATAGGAGTATCGGCGTCTAGCGTTGCTGAAATCCGTGTCATTGGTTATTGCCTTTCCGGAATTCGGGTGGCAGGTGGACTTGGCCAACTGTTCACGCCGAAACCTTGAAGCTTAAGAGAGCGGATGACCTTATCTTGTCTCTGATTCATATTTCTTCACCAGAGGGTCTGTAAGCACTACCTTACTGCTGGCCTTCATGGCCCTCGGCCTATGGGTATTTTGGTTGGTAAGGTGATTACTGATCTCTGATGAACTGGAATCTAGCGGTGGGATAAGGCTATGAGATGAACCATGGTATTAAGCTATGGCCTGACCGTTGGCTCAACTTTCCACCCAGAACTCAAGATGTGCAATTTTATATCGTGGGATCTTTGAATTGATTATCCCTCAACAAATTTTCCATGACTATCAGATGTTGCGAAATCCCGACCATCGTCGTCTGCACAGTATTATCTTACATCGCAAACGCGGCACACTGTTGTTGATTAGTAAACTGGTCCTCGGCTGGCGCAGTGGCGCTAGTGTCCCAGGAATTTGCCAATGAATCAATGCGAACAGAACCCCTGTGAGCGCTGAGAAGCCAGAATTATGTCTTGAACGCATGAGTAGCGTGGGAGATCTACGGTCTGGTTGGTCCAGTCTTAGCAGCTGGATGAGATCAGAGCCAACATCGATGTCGTTTTACTAGCGCGGCTAGGATTCAAACTCGGAGCAAATTACATAATTCGAAGACCCCTAGAGCTTGGGACGCGCGGTACTTACAGGTACAAATTCATTCTGCTCACCGGCGTACACTTCCCACCTACCTCGCCATGCTCAACAACTGGGGCCAAGCATTCTGCATCATCTTCATCACTTACAAATAGCTCCCTTCGAATCTTTTAATGCGCAATTGGTTCTTTGATAGTACGGTCGCCGTAGGTATTTAGTTGCTCGATACCTTCTGGCTCTTGCAAGGCGATCAAAGAGAATCCGAGTAGCTCAGCTAGGCCATATCCCAGGTTTCAGAGCAACCAAGAAGGCTAAGCCTGGGGTCCGCGGGAAGTAAATTTTCTCAGTTCCTCTTTAGTGCATTGTACTCTGCTATCTTAAGGGAACCCTTACGTCGCAATGGCATCCTTGACTCTCAGTGGTGCAACAGCCCTCGGAAGGCCAGAGTCTCGTCGAGGCTGCAAACGAGACTGGATTTGATCCGCAAACTCAGCTTCCAAACAACTGATCATTTCCTCGATATCATAGTCCCAGATCTTGTGCGATCTTTCCTCGAGGTCTTTGAGACATTTGTCCCAGTCACGCATAGTGTCCGGGTGGTTCCACTCGTAAATCTCGCAGGCTTCGCGGCTGCTCTTCACCAGCCACTTTCCACGAGGTGGTCGAACAGTATCGTAAGCCCGGAACATGGCCTCCAGTAAGTCAGACTTGTTATGTTGTGTAGGTCTGGATAGGCCTTGCAATATCTTCGTGCCATTGTTAAGGAGTGTGGCCAAAGCTAGCGCATCCTCGACGCCCATACCTGCGCCGGCTCCGTGATGAGGAGTGGAGGCGTGAGCAGCATCACCTGCAAGACAAAGCCTCCCTTTGACGTACGTTGGAGCAGGGTAGTCGTAAGTATCGAAGATGGCCCATTTAGTAATTTCATCTGGCAGCAAGTCAATGAGACTCTTGACTGTAGGACCCCAGTCCTGGAATACATCAGCGACCTCCTTCCTTGTCGTCTGACTTGTCATGTTAGCAACTCCATCGCCCCTCTTGTCCCAATCAGTAGTATCATCGGCAAAGGCCACAAAGTTAAGAATCGTACCACCTGCCACCGCGAAATGCAGGACATGTGCTCGTGGACCGGTGTGGCAATGCTCGTTGTAGGCTTTGAAGCTTCCGATGGCGGCTACTGCGCGGTCCATGGGTATCAAGGCCCTATAGGCAATTTTGTGGCTGGAGTGAGGGTACGCGGCGGGGGTATCCGGTCCGAGAACCAGCTGTCGGACCTTGGATTTGATGCCGTCGCATCCAATAACTTGTAAGCATCAGTGACAAGGACAGTAACAATGCCATTAAGAGTCAACATTTGCCATGATAGAATCTTTGTTATGTGACTCTTACCTGCATCAGCGCTGGATGTGGTGCCGTCCTGAAAATGCAGAAGCACCTTTCCCCCTATATCTTCATCTGTCACATTTACCAGTTTTTTACGGAATGCGACCGCATCGCCTGGGATGATCTTGACAAGCTCGTCTAAGAGATGAGCCCGATGACAGCCAATAAATCCCTCATGCCCAGTGTCGAGGTTATACAGAGGCATATCTTCTTCGTCAGGGCGATTCTCATCCCAGGTATATCCATCGTTGAAACGGAGGCACTCTTCGGGCTCGTCTTCGTTCTCACCGTTGTGTGTGGCTACGGCGTTGACGGCCTCCTCAATGAATGGATTTAGTAGGGCCATGCACTTTCTGGCATTGGTAGTGAAGCCAATTCCGGCACCGATCTCGCGGAAGGAGCGGGACTGTTCGTATATCTTGACAGGAATATTCCGCTTTAGTAAGCCCAGCGCTGTGATGAGACCAACAATTCCACCACCGACGATGGCAATCTCGAAATTTTCGTTGGAATCGGACATGATTGAAGAAAGGCTCTTTAAAACTATTTGTGAAGGAAGTCTACAGCCGTTTGAATATGGAGCGAGGTAGTTATCGTTAGATCAATTATACCTCAATCTGAGTGCGTTGGGCAAGAAGTACCTTGCTGTCGATGGCGCTTACTCATCTGGCTGCACATGTAATATCAACCTTTAACTGATATTAGGTGCACGTCCTGAAACACCGGAGTTCGCGGTCTTCCTGTCCGGCGGATGATGATCTCATCCGAATAGTGTTCAGAGCATTGACGGCCTCGCCGACGGACTTCGGCCCTCGGCCCATTGCCCTTTGGCAAATCACCTTTTCTCGGTGAAAACGAAGATAGGGTCGATGTACGCCGGGAACATTCTAGAGACCACGCGAGTATCTCATGTAGGTTTCTCAAGACAGCCGGTGCTTGTAGCTTGTAAGTAATGACTTTAATCACTGACAAATTCATTATGTAGGGGAAGAACCTTTGAAACTCAAGTGAGATACAGCTGAAGCAAGCGGCTGAATATTACTTTCATATTGATTTTACACACACTCAGAATAGACCAACATTTCCATCCACCACTCGTGAACGATCCAGGGGATGTTCAGTCCCCCATACTCGGTTCCTCAATCAACAGGTCCATGAGAGAGTCAGGCGTCGCCAAGGCATCCTCATATCCAAAACGAGGCGGCTCTGGCTTCGGTATACCTTGGCAAAACCCATTTTCAGCTTTCAACTCCTCCAAAGCTTCATCCATTGTCTTAATCTCATCTTCTAACGCCATGCCACGTTCCTGAAACCTGACCAGAGCTTCCCGACATGAATGAAATGGCGCTGGCGTAAATGGGTGGATCTGGCAAATGTTGAAGTCGGATAATAAAATACTCGATAAGCGTGCAATCTCTCTAGCTGCTGCTACAGCTCTTTCCTCACAGCCATCGACGAGATGATGGTACTCTGCAGTAGTATCCGGCATGGTTGCGGCCACCTCCAGAAGTGATAGTGACGCTACTTGGGCCACTATCCTAGTAAGTAATGTCATAGATTCAGCGCGATGTGATACGGAGAGGCCCTGCAGACGGAAAATCTGCCGCGTGAGGACGGAGTCCACAAACATGTGCCGCTCCGAAAATTGGGCAGGCGACGTCCCACTTTCATGCCCAATCCTCGATCGATTCTTGTGGACTTGAATCTGCTCGGACATTGAGATGGATAGAATGAATTCCAAGAACGGATGTTGCTTTGCTGCTGTCTGCAGCTCCATAGCTTCTGGGAGAAACAGAGAGATGGTGGGCGTGCGGCTTTGAAATGCGTCTTCAGAGCAAGGAAGCCGAGTATATATCTGGATACATCCTATCATTAGTACAAGAATTCATAATGTATCTGCAGTAATATTTAAGAAAAGATTGACGCATAATGCTGATGAACAGGGGTTGAGTGCGTACCTCAGATTCAGTGAACGTCCGGGGCAGATCATGCGCCAAGCAAATAACAGTATCTAGACAAAATACCATCCAGAACGTCCTTCTCTTCTCCTCTTTCTCGACAAAGTAATCTGGGTCCTCGGCTGATCCGGAGGCTTTGGAACAACTTGAATCGATATTGCTCAGGCGCAGGAGCTGTATCAGGCGTATCGCTCGCCCCGTACTCACCCATGCGCCGTGGAAACCGACTGCCATCAGCTCATACATCGAGATGAGAATCCACGCCTGGGTCTGCTTTAATAAACCCTCCTCTTTATCCATTGGACTGCCAGGAGAGTCAAGATTCCCGAGGCGGTCGAGGGCTTCGCGATACATGGTGTCGCACAAATGTTGAAACTGCGACGACAGTGAAGACGCCATCGCCCACATTGCGTACTGTAGACATGTATGTGAAAGTTTGGATTCGTCCGAAGTAGAGCGGCTGTTCATTGTTGGTCTCTTTTCCAAATGCTTTGATATGCGAATGTACGAGGATTGGTGTAAGAACGGTGTAAATGAGTGAACTCTGTCGAAGTAGAGCTGGTCACTACATTCAATGTTCAGCGACAAGATACACAGGCATCAACATGGAGTTTCGACGTATGCCCCGGGACAGTTACTCACAGATCAGCTCTCATTAAGGGCCCAATATCCCGAAAGGTGTCAAGCGCCTGAGCCGGCAACGTCGGAAGCACGCCCGTGTAGTTGAAGGCATCGTTGGCGATGATAGGCAGTGGGGTGGAATCTACAGGAGTGGATGTCTGAGTTGGGACATCTGCTCGTGCCGGGTAGGTCAAGTCCGCGTCAGATAAAGAAGTGAAGTAGTCCGTAGCAACAGACAAGGTCTCTCGATGACTATCAAGACTGGAGCCATGAAGGTCCGAGCTTGCTGAAGATTCGCAACTCCGCCTCAGGGCTTTATTGACCTCGATTGAATCGCTCCTACTACTTCTCGCGAGGCGCCGTTCAAGAGTGGCTGCATTTACTCATCTTGTCAGTATCTGTAGTACGAATCTTAAATGTCCCACTTCAAGGCATTGCCCTTTACAGTGAAAATGTTGCTGACTGACCAATCCTTGATTGAAGCGTCTTAATATGATCTTTCTTGGATATTAGAGGTGGGGCAGCCGAGGCACTTCGACAACATGAACCCGTACGAACACACCCGCTGCAAGGCTGTTTTCGATCACATCTGAGCTTGCCCTTTTGGCACTGCCGGCAGGTTGAATCAGGGCTGCGGCGGATATCATGGCTCGTTGCCGGGCTCCTGCGTGTTTCGGTCTCCTCCGTTATCGATGATGCCGCGGACCGGGGCGGTGTTGGGCCATTCGGCCCATTCTTCGGGTGCGACTGGCATAATACGCCACGTTCGAAGCAAGGGAGACAGAAGTTGCTCCCGTCCATTGATGTTGTGAGCGGTGTGGTTGGAGAGTTGCCGATTATGATGCACTCAATGCTGCGTCTGTTTGACAATGAATACGTTCAACTTGCGCCAACCAGAACTTTGGATGCTCGTTAATGAAAACACCTGCTTGGAGACACCAAGACACGGTTATGTATGCTACATAGCTGCCAGCTTCCTCAGCGTTTGCCACTTTAGCGGCGTGATCTGAGTTCAGATAAGCAAAGATGCATCTCAATCAACATGGATAAAGTGTGACAGGACGATCCTGGTCTTTGATGAAAACCACATGAAATCTACCCAAAAGTGCCATTGCGAATTTGTGGTGATGCTAAGGAAAAGGAAATCAACCCCTGGAGGTTCCCATCACCGACGCTAGTCGCCTGGTAAAGAGCAAACTTTGCTGCTTGTTTGTTACCAAGGGTGTTTGCCCCTTTCCTCGGAATACTGATCCGTTGTGCCGCCCGCTTCATATTCCTTTTGCAGACCCCGCTTTTCCTTTTCTTTTGGCCGTTGTGTTTGCTTGTTTGCTCCCTCGGCTGATAGTTTGCCTATTAGTGCCTGACGGTTCATGTATGAGAGATTTTGCACAATTACCGGGATGCCGGGGTCGTTCCCTTGTCAGTCATCTTGCTGACCGGGCCCGGCCTTGCGATTCCCGGATCGGTGGAGTTCGCGACCTTCCGGGGTTGGAAGATGGCAAACCCGATCCCCTCCATGGTAGCTGATAGGGCATGAATAATGTGGATCGAGATCTTCGTAAGCGATGGCAGTTACGTGCCTGCCTTGGTCTTCGATGCGCCAGAAAGTGAGTTTTCAATTATATAGTATCGAAAGTACAGGCCAACCTCAAAATCTTACACGTGCACGCCGCTTATTCTCCGTCTACTCACTGGGGACTGCAAGTGCCTCGTCAATCGTCTTCCAAGTGTGATCTTTGACCTTTTTCAAATCCTCCTCAGTGAATATAGCCTTGTTGCCGACAACCTTACCATTTTGATCGATACAACTCCAAGATGCGCCGTCCTTCCCCGAGGCCCCGTCCACTCCCTCCAGAAGTCTCTCGGCGCAGGTATCGGCCGGTACGCCCATCACATTGGTCAGGAGTTTTGTCGCAGTCCGAAGATACCACGGCATGGTATGGAAGAGATTGGTCTGTACGATGCCAGGGTACGCGTGGATGAAGTGTTGCCTCTTGTCCTTGTTCTCGGCCGCATAGGCCTGGATCATGGCGTCCGTCATGGACAGGCAGTGGTCCGCTGCTTTTTGCAAGCTGAAGTTCTTCTTCAGGTCCAAGTCGTCCCAAATCAGCTTCGTCGGGCTTCCGCGGGTGCTATCAAGGACGATGAGGACTTTGGCATCGTCCTTTAGGATGGGGCTCAGCTCGCGGATGAGAAGCTGCCTGCCGTAGTAGTGAAGGGCCATCTTGCGGTCGATTCCCTCGGACGTCTCGGTTCTACCTGCCATGGTGAGAATGCCTTGCGTGAGGACGAGCAAGTCGAGTTGTGGGTCTTGAAGGGACTTGTAGTCGTCCGTGTATCGCTCGATGGAGCGCATGGAAGATGCGTCCAAGGCGCGGAACTTGATGTTGGGGTGAGGGATGTCCTTGGGTTCGGTGCGGCCACTGATAGTCACTTGTGAGGATGCCGAAGCTGCGGCGAGGCGGCAGGCAATGGCGTAGCCAATGCCACCCGTACCTCCTACGACTAATGATCGTGTAGCCATGACTTGCTATGAGAGTTGGATGAGATAGATGGTGGGATGTGAGGATGTCGTTGGGGATTTCAAGCTCCTTAACAAACTTGGAAGCTGAGCTTGGCTCGGTGTGTGGTTAGGCCGATTCCGAAAACAATTCAAAGCTCCCTAAGTCCGCATTTCCGCGTCATCTGATTGGCTCAATCCATCTGGCATTTTCCAATTCATGCAAAGGAAGCTTTCTAAGTCCGCAAAATCCGCCCACAACTTGTGTTTTGCAGCTGTCCATGAGTATGGTTTGGTATGACATTGCTTTGAAGCTCTTGGCTGCGAACATATGACAGTTAAGATAGATCCTCAAGGTCACTCCGACTTTCCGTTTAGTGTCCTTCCTTGTGGAACCTCCATTGCTTACGCCCCTACCTCTTGCCTTCTTGCGGCTTGTCGCCTCTTTCGGGTTTTGGTGGTACCGACATGGGGAACATAGGCTTATGCCGGGGATGAGATGACGGCGGAACGGATGGAAAGGGGATGGAAAGTGCCCTCGAGCCCGGGCTCCGCAGCTTCCACTTCGCCGTATTTCGGAAAATCCTACGCCCATTTCCCGGGCATATTATTTATAGCCTCGATCATATCCAGTCTCCACGTGACCCTCACAGACCTTACGTAAGTACCAAGGATGAGCCGAAGTGCCGGACTGGGGATCTTCCCTTGAACCAAGTCGGCCACCTTACTGCATCAGTGCATAGCAGGACCCCAAGAGCCCCGATTCCCCTGCTCGCGGCTCTGCGGCAACGTTAACTCTGGGCGAGCGGGGCCGCTGACGCGTTACTGGTCTTCTGGCGGTTCAGCGCCAGCCAAAGAGAGACATCGCGGGACGCATGGGCTGCCGATGTTCCAGGCGAGAGAAGTCTCTGCCTGGGAAGCCTGGCACGCATGGCCTGGTATTTCCTGGCAGGGCGAGATCTTCCAAAGTGGTTGAGTTTTGAAAGGGATTGAAATCTGGAGCCAGAGCCACCTTTCCCCCGTCTATTTCGCACCCCCGGGCCCTGGCCGCATGTTCCGTGGTCCGTCATACTCTTGTTCCCTTCAGGGCTGAAGTTTCGATCTCCTGCAAATCTGCTCCCTTTTTTTTCCCATTTCCTCTCCTTGTGGTCCGAGTCTTGACCTACGCCCAACGGTTGTCATTGTCACACGTCACACGTCATACACACTACCACAGTGACCGCACCACACGCAAAGGTTGACGACTGGACAAAAGAGGTGTTCACTGGTTGGTCGTCTGGGATGTCATTCTCGGCCCTACCACACTACTTCAGCCCTTCGGACGGATCTGTGGGATCCAACGTGCTGGGTCACACCTAAACTGGGTCTCTACTCCGAATCTTTTGCCCATCCCACCGCTCCTCATTCCATTCTCCTTGGCGAACTACGGAGGGGCCCCCTCTGGTTCATCAACTTCGGTTCTTCGATTTGTTCCATTTGTTAAAATTTGTCCCGCCCCAGCCCGTGGAGCACTGGAGACGTTTCTTCACGTCGGCGGTGCCGAGTTTCCATTCTTGACCCTTCTACCCTACATAATCACGCCTTCTCCCCCTCGCGCTGCGCGAGGTCTTATAGAGGGACGATGGGCATAATGGAGAAACTAGGGGTGACAGACCCCTTGGCAAAGCTTCCCCACAAGCCGCAGTCTTACAACGACAAATATGTCGTCGTCTACGACTTCAGTGAAGTCGGTACGTCAATTTCTCATTCGTCTTTCTATCATGATCGGGAACTATCGTTGGAATGGGGCTGGCCGACTGACTGTGCCCCAGATTCTGAGACCTCCGTCAAGGAGCTCACTACACTCCTTAACGAACTCGAGTCTGCTGGTCTCCAGACGGAAGTGAGGGCCGGCTATGACCAGACCCTTCTTATCTTCGTGAAGGCTCCTCGGGAGCTTCTAGGAAACACCGTCTACAAGTCGAGGTCAGTTGGACCAACCATCGTCACGGTCAGCTGAAGCCCTTGGCTGACATTTCCACCAGAGTAAAGGACTGGCTCTATGGCATCGTCCCCGAACATCCCGGCGGCACCAAGACCACCGTCGTCGACGGCGCCTTTGAGGCAGAGGACATTCTTTCAGTCTACCACCTCGTCAACTGGCCCAAGTCTCTCGGTGGTGCTGGAATCACGCCCGAGACGGGCCAGTGGAAGAATGTCAAGGCCATTTTCCCCCTGCACAATGAGGAGACGAACCAATCCCTCATGAAGCATCTCAGCAAGCGGCTGTTCCTGACGCCCGACGATATCGATTCCATTCGCGACCTCTGGGGAACCAAAGTGAGTCCCGCTAACCTGCGTTCTCTGCCCATGCCGTCTAACAGAATATTCGCATAGGTCGCTTTCTACTTTGCCTTCATTCAGACCTATCTTCTCTTCCTCACCTTCCCCGCAATCACTGGTGTCATTGCCTGGATGTACTTCTCAAAGTACTCCCTCACCTACGCTATCGCGACATGTGTCTGGTGTACCGTCTTCCTGGAATACTGGAAGATCCAGGAAGTTGATCTCAGTATCCGGTGGAACGTGCAGGGAATCGGCAAGGTCAAAGTCAACAGGCCGCAGTTCAAGTACGACAAGATTATCAAGGACGAGGCTGGCCAGGAGAAGCATTATTTCCCCAAGTGGAAGACGGTCTCCCGCCAACTGCTCCAAATCCCCTTTGTCTTGCTTTCCGCTCTGGCGCTGGGTGCCATCATCGTCCTTGTCTTTGCCATTGAGGTGCTTATTTCAGAAGGCTACGACGGCCCCTACAAGAACTTGATTGTAAGTTCTCTTTAGCATGCGTTGGTGCTTCAACGGGGTGCTAACCATAAGCAGGAATACGTTCCGACCTGCTTGCTCGCTATCGCGTTGCCCTACATCAGCAGCGGCCTCGAAGAAGTCGCCACGATGCTCACAAACTACGAAAACCACCGAACGGCCGATTACCACGAAATGTCTCTGACGCAAAAGATCTTCGTCCTCAACATCATCACAAACTACCTACCGATTCTCATCACGGCCTTCATTTACGTTCCCTTTGGCGACACCTTTGTCCCCTGGCTCGAGGGCATGACGAAGGGATTCCTCGGCGCCATTGGCCAAAAGTACATGGACGACGACCTTAGCTTCCACGTTGACGCTGACAGACTTCGTGACGAGGTCATCGCGCTCGTCGTCACAGGACAGATTTCCGGATTCTTCGACGAGAACATCATGCCGGTCCTCAAGCACAAGGCGCAAGGGATCTACCGCGAGTACAAGCGCTCGCACTCAAAGGACACGATGCTCATGTCCATCGTCAAGGATGCCCCCGAGGAAGCTAGATTCCTCCGCAGCGCACGCAACCAGGCCACCCTGGAAAAGTACAACGTCCAGGACGACATTGCCGAGATCGTCCTCCAGTTCGGCTACCTCGCCCTCTTCTCCCCCGTATGGCCCCTCATCCCCATCGGGTTCCTCATCAACAACATCGTCGAGCTACGCACCGACTTCCTCAAGATCTGCATGGAACATCGCCGCCCGCCCCCGGTGCGCACCGATGGCATCGGCCCGTGGATCAACTCTCTCGACTTCCTCACCTGGGCCGGCAGTCTCTCGACCGGCGCCATCGTGCACCTGTTCGGCGCAAACAGCATCGGCGGTGGAGCGTGGTGGGCGCTCCCCATCACCATCTTCATCAGCGAGCACGTGTTCCTCGGCTTGCGCTCGGTCGTCCGCTTCTGTCTAGAGAGCATCGGGTCGGAGCAAATTCGCAAGCAGAGGCACCAGCGATACGCGACGCGTGTGAAGCACCTCGAAGAGATGGAGGCCAACAAGCAGGCTGGGCTTATGCTCTCAGTCGCCGAGCGCGAGCGTCGCAAGTCAATCCGGGCGATGGGGCAGGAGTCCTTCTGGACGACACAGATTGACGACGGCGCGAGTGCCGCTGTGGGTATTGGTTTGATCCAATCGGTCAAGAGGGCTGAAGTGTTGAAAGCCGGGCAACCGAAGATTGACTAGTAGGATGTCTGTTTACTATACTGGTCAGATCATCTACACAAAATCGGCGTCTTGTTTGATTAGAGAGGTAAAATTTAGAGCATGAACACCATGCCAATAGAATGCCATACAACATCAGTCCGTCCGCCTGCTCCCCGAGCTGGTGACTGAAGCTAAGTGAAGAGCTAAGTGGAGATTGGACGAAGGGGTATAGTGACATGTCTTTGACATCACATCACAGCACTGACATCATCGGATCGCATCCGCGCCATCAACAAACACAGCATCAACATCAACCTGACTTTCGAGCATCGATCACAAGACTGAGAAACAGGTCCTTTGAGACGATATCGAAGGATAATTCGAGTTGTAACCACCAAGGCTCAGGACAGACCACTACGACTCATCCAAAATGTCCAAAATCACATCCCCCTTCAACAACCCAATCTCCTTCGCTTCATGCTCCATCGGCCTCCCTCGACACACCCTCGAAGACAAACTGGCAGCACTCTCCGCCGCCGGCTTCAACGGCATCGAACTCTCCTTCCCGGATCTCCGAACCTACGCCACTCAACACCTCAACAAGGGCGAAATCGCGGCCGACGACTATCACTCCCTCTGCGAAGCCGGCAAGCTCATCCACGAGCTATGCGCGGAGCTCCACCTACAAATCATGGTCTTACAGCCCTTTGCGAACTTCGAAGGGTGGCCAAAGGGCAGCAAGCAGCGAGAAGAAGCGTTTGAGCGCGCGAGGGGATGGATGGAGATCATGAGCGCCGTGGGGACAGATATGCTGCAGGTCGGATCGTCGGATTCGCCGGATATCACGTCGTCGATCGGAGACCTTGTCGCCGATCTCGCAGAGTTGGCGGATCTTCTTGCGACGAGGGGGTTCAAGATCGCATATGAGAATTGGTGCTGGGCCACGCACATGCCGTCGTGGAAGGATGTGTGGAAGATTGTGCAGCTTGCTAATCGGCCTAACTTGGGGCTCTGCTTGGATACTTTCCAGTCTGCTGGTGGAGAATGGGGAGATCCGACGACGGAATCGGGACGCATTGAGACTGGTGGTGTGAGCGAGCAAGATCTCAAGATGTCGTATGAGATCTCTCTTCAGGAACTTGCAAAGACGGTTCCGCCGGAGAAGATCTATTTTCTCCAGATGAGCGACGCCTACAAGGTCTCACCGCCGTTGAGCAAAGAGCCGGATGAGAGTGGGTTAAGACCCCGGGGGCGCTGGAGCCATGATCATAGACCGCTGCCGTTCGACGGTGGGTATCTGCCCATCTTGCAGTTTTTGGAGGCTGTCATGAGCACCGGCTTCAGAGGGTGGTTGTCAGTCGAAGTGTTTGATGGGAAATTTGAGGAGAAGTACGGGGATGACCTGTCGGGATACGCCAAGAAGGGGAGGGACGGGGTTGTCAAGATGCTGGGCGAGATGATTGTCGATGGGAGTGGCCCCTGATTCTATGAATAGCGCGATGATGCTACAGCAATGCACGAGCGAAGCCACTCGAGCGGCTCAACCTTTCAAGTCGAGACTCACACCTCCCCATCCTTCCTCTCCTCGAGCTCATCAAACCTCACAGGCGTCTCATCCTCTGTCCACGGTACCACCTTCAATTCCTTCCAAATCCCCATCCACCTCCTCGCCTTCTTCTCATACACCTCCCGCACACCAACTGTCGGATTCGGCCTCACAATCATCGAAAAGAACTCAGACAACCCCTTCGGCGCATACACCCTCCACGCCCCATCCGCCTCCACCCGGACCCCAATCATCGCGCTCGTCGTGATCCACGTATCGATTCCAGCCTCAGTCGACTCGTGCGCCGGGCAAGGCACCCCAAACTTCTCCTCATACCATAGGTGCACCCGCGCCTGGTTCCTGATCTCCACCCCTTCGCCGGGGATGCCCGCGAAAAGCTCGCGCCCGCGGCGAATCACGGCGTCCTCGGCCTCGTAGGAGAGGTCCGAGTCGTCGTGGTAGACGAGGTCGTAGTCTGAGATGCCTGTCGTGGGCGGGAGCGATGAGACGTGGTTCCAGATTGTTTGGGAGACGGCGCCGCCTGCGAGGTACCAGTTTGGGAGGTCAAGGGTGGCGGCGAGGGAAAGGACTTTGATGAGTGTTTCGTTGGTTTCGAGGACTTGACGGACAAGGGTGAGCTGTTCGCCTAGTGGGAGTCTGGCGAGGTTGACTGCGGGCATTTTGGTCGTGTTTGTGAGGAAATGCGCTTGGCGAAGGGTTGTGAGTAAGGCTTTTGCTGATGAAATCACTTTTCGACGCGCTATTATTGACTCAGGCGCGTTGCGAACGTGTTTATATTGGTGTTGAATGATGAGGATTAACCACATCACGTCAGAGGTTTTGCGCCTGGCTTACCTAAGGTACCCAAGTGGTAATTATGCCAGGCTTTCTTATTTCACATTGCGACCTGCGATACGTCATTTTGAAAGTCGACTTTCTGAATAGAATTGAGAAGCTCTTATTTTATCCCTGCACTCCTAGAACGACTACCTAGCTCTGACGCAATGAATTGGGGCTGACTTGGAGACGAAGGTGGCCAGCTTCGTGAGCTGAGAACCCGTCATATACTACAGCGAATTTACGCAGCTTAGCTATCGTGGTTGGACTTCATTTGCTACATAGTTAATTTTGAAGAGCATCGCCTAATTTACGCCGTCTGCCATTATCTCTTCTGGCATCCCGATGTAAAATCATCAAAGACCCCTCCTAGTCATAAGGTAGTTGTCTGATGGAGCATGTGAGCTTTCACAATGAGCGCGGATCGGTAGCTTACCTACCCCGCCGTTACCCCGCATATATGAAGGGCATCGCGACTTCAATCGCAGATTGAGCGATCTATCTATCAGCTATGAAAATCGAGACAGGCTGGCCTGCAGCTACCAACGGTAGAGTGGACTAACTCACTCGCGCTTCCCGAAGTTGTAAGGCCATATACTGAAGCTTGTCTGTGGTATGTTGCCGCGATGAAGTACTAGTGGTGTCAAGAGCGTACAGTTTCACCTTGACTGATTAACTCACTCAAACTAGGCAAATTAATGAGTTGAGGAAAATAGGAGTTGTGGTCTTGTGCAGACGGTGCATTACGTCTTGACTATAATTGTAGTGGATAGAAAGCTCCCCCTAGCTTGTATTGCTGCACAACGCAGAAATGACTGACAAGCGCCACAGCTTGCACATCTAGCCTTGGCAAATTCATCTCAGGCATCAACGCATGTTGGTAAGCTGGTCATCGGAATATGATAGGTCGGACCGGCAATGTGGAATTAACGTCAGGCTGACCTCAGCACTTCGGCTTCAAGACTTCAAGAAGCAGGACTTCCCCTCGCTAGGCTGCGGAGTGAATACGTCTGCGATCTATTGAAGTCCAGCGGGGCCAGATCTCCGGTCCTTCCCGCCTGCTACGTGATCCAGCTACCAAAACGTGATCCGAAGATACGGTCAACGGCTGCCAACCGATGGAAGATGGACGATCCGACCACAAAAGAGTCAGCTGATGACAATGAGGAGAACGCAATAGACAGCAAGAGTGGCTCGCTTAGGCATGGCCGTGGCTCAGCGCCTGGTAAGCTCCTTGGTACTTCGGGATGACAGTCTTTACCAACTTTTCTCTTCTACGAACATACAGGTGCTGACCCCTCTTGCAGATCCTTACCCTCACGAGCTTGTTCCTGGCCATAATACGGCCATCTGGTCTCCAGCGCGAAAGCATGAGGTCAAAACTGAGAGCCAAAAACAGGCTGATTGTCATAGAGCATTCAGAACGAGCAATTATGAAGATTCCAAGAATATCAATGCTGAACGAATACCGGGCACATGCAATTGGGTGTTGCAGCACACCTTATACAGAGAATGGCAGCAGAGCCGTCAGGATGATGTCCTTTGGATCTTGGGAGACCCAGGCTGTGGAAAATCTGTACTAGCCAAAGCCATTGTTGACGAGCAATTACAACATTCGAACCAGCATACGGTGTGCTACTTCTTCTTCAAATTCAACGATAATCAAAACAACCTTGCGACAGCCTTATGTGCCCTTCTTCATCAGCTTTTCGACTATCAACCCCTCCTTCTCCGCCATGCTATGAATGCTTTCCAAAAGACCGGAACGCAATTGCAGACAGAGACTGACGAGCTGTGGCGTATCTTCACGGCGGCTGGTACAGACGATCAAGCAGTCAATATCACTTGTGTTATAGACGCTCTAGACGAGTGCTGCGACAATGACCTGGGAAAACTCATCCAGTTCCTAGCAAGCTTCTATTATAACCAACGAACAGCGTCTACAAGGAATTTTCAGCTCAAGTTCCTTGTGACTAGTCGAGCGTGGCACGTTATTGAAAATGAGTTTCTCGGCATACCTACGATCCGGCTTACTAGCGAAGAGAGCAATGATGATATCAGTAAGGAAATCAACTTCGTTCTTCGACACAAGGTAGCCATAGCCGGACGCAGATATGGACTGAGTCAGGAAGTACAAGACGTGTTGCGAGAGAAACTCTCATTTCCGCATCGATCAGGACTCGAGCTGCACCTTGTAATGAATGTGGTGGATGAAATTCTCGACAACCAGGCGTGGCCAAAAATGGCTTCCATCAAGACGACCAATACTCTCTCAACAAAAGTGGAAGATGCCTACGATAACGTATCTAGCCGCCTTGAATCCCACCAACGAAGAGAGGCGGAGGCTTTCGTCAGGGAACTTGGCTTAGACTCACTCTGGCCGTATGCTTTGCGCGAAAGTCGTATGCAGTTCCAACTTGCACCATTAGACGCCAGCACAGATTTTACCGAAAGCTACGGAATTTCCAATGTGGTTAGTGACAAAACCAGCGGAGATCTTGTCTCTACCAAGCCATCGTCGCTTGAAGAAGACATCAATCTCGTTGACGAAGACAATCCAACAAGACAGATGGCTAAGACTTTCTATAATCACACACCTATCGAAAGTAACCGATATGTTGCCGACGACGAAATCAGATCCCTTGCATCAGAACCTGAAGATATTCAGTCACAGGATGGAACAAATTCTAGTCGCTGGGAAGTCAGAAAAGCCGCAGCAAGCTACTTGGCTGAAATGTTGACTGATGATGCAACCCTTCGCCCCTTATATGAAGAAGCGTCCAAACGTTTGGATGATGAACGATTTTCTCGAAATCATGGACGTTTGCTCAAACGGTATTACCTGTCACTGCGCTCACAAGCTGCAAACCGAAAACATAGCGTAGCGGTTAATTTCCTCAGACCAAGATCTAACAGAACACTGGTCTCGCGAAAGGTTCTCGAGAGCACAGGAAGGGAAAGGGTTCACCTAACATTGCCTCAACATGACGAGCGGAACTTGACTTTGGAACGCTTTCTTAACAGCGTCGAAGTGGGCCCGGATGCAATCACTGCAGAAGTTGAAATGCCTCTGGATATTGATGAGGAACAAGAAAGCTCTGTAGATGGAGACGACCAAGATGGCCTTGACCTCGTTGATCTTGAGAATGCCAGAAGCTATTTCACCTCCGGAACATCACTAACGCAATTCAAAGCCGAGTTCCGAGACTTCCTTCACCTCCCCCGCATGGCCGTGGAAGAGGCGCAGACACAAACGCAGGGACAAACGGACCCGGAGCCAGGGCGGGGGGGCAATGCCAAGTCGCACGAATGGTTCTATAGCGTTGGCTTTTGGCAAAGCAAACTAACTTCCTGGCTTTACGATACGTTTTATCCACCAAAATCGGGGTATCAAAGAGTTCGGTACATCTGTGTAGGTGGCTAAATTCTCATCATCATCTCGCTTCTCACAGTAAGGAGCCGGGGCTTATTACTTAGCTACTACAGGAATGCGATGATCACATGTTTTTAGATATTAAAGAGCTCCAGCCAGGAGGAGCGCAGCGATTTCGGCAGCGCCTTGTCAATGATGGACTTGCCAGGCTCATCACCCCCCACGATTCAACCACAGCTCAGGGCTCAACCGCGGATCAAGATCTTCAGAGCAGTATTTCTCTCCCCCCTCCTGCGCATTTTAGGTCAGAGAGAAGTCAGTATAGCTCGTCGCGGCAGAATTCTGGACCGAATACTTTTTCGTCAAGACCAGGATCGTCACCACTACCGTCCGACACGTCAGGGTCCGAGGAGGTGGCGTTCTGTCCAGAAGAACAAAATACTCCCCAATACTTGCTGCTGTGCGTCAACCAAAAAAGCCTCCCGGTATTAGACCATATTGACTGCAATTATTTCGGGAATGATCAATACCTTTTCCAGCATATCTTGGAAAGGTACCAGATAATACGTGCGGGATCAACCTGGAGAATCCCCCTGCTTTTCCCACCTTTGGTATGCGAAATACTAGAAAAAGGAGTGACCTTTCTCAGGCAAAATACTCCGAGCTGGCTGAATTGGATGTTCCAATTCTTTCAAAAGCTGTCCGAGGCTAGTCTTTTCGTCATGCACACTGGCGATTACGTTCAGGTATGTTAAGAGAAGTTTCTTTTCCCGTAGAACACTGCCACTAATAGCCCTCCAAAAAGTTTCGACTCGTTCTGATGGGAGAATCTACCAACCCGCAACATTTCAAATGTGGGGAGTATCCCCCTGTCTCCGAAGTATTAGAAGCAAAAAGCTATTCGTACAATCCAGTACCGACTGATGTTGCGGTTGATTCCATTCCCTTGTGGCATCTAACGCTCCCTGGGCGCCGACACAGCGACAACTACTGGATTTCAACATTTCCCAAAAAGCTTCGAGGTCCATTACACCGCCTACCAGGAACCCGCGAAAGAGTAATCGGATGGGGCATACGAATAAACGAACGCTTCAATTGGCACCTGTTTTTCTCTCTTCTTCTGGTAATCGCGGTGATTATCTGGGTAATTGTGGCCGTCTATCTTGCATACAAGGCCGATGACTCTTCTGGATTTGGTTTGGGGGCTTTGCTCGCAGCACTTGTTGCGATTTATATGCCTTTTCAGTACTTTTCTTGGAAGGAAAAGCTGGAATAAAACTGTTCGCAACCAGCCTCGTATGGCACCGGCTTGCGCTCCCATGACTTTATGGGTTAATCAGTTAAGTCATTTGTTCTTAGATGGCCACGAATCCAATTCTCATGTCAGCAATGATGCAAACGGAAATATTGATGTGTTCAATGCCCTGAGTAACAAAAGACGTGCCGGGCATGATGCCGACATAGCCTATACTAAATCTGTCACGTAACAGGGATAGTAATCGCACCTTACGAAGTGCCCGTTACGTGCTAAATCACGTATCTATCTTAGATATCGTATATATAGACCTTTTCCTTTTATCTATTTCTATATTAATAATTAAGCTATTTTTATTATACTCCGTATACCTATTACTACGTACTATAACTCGTAATAATTATAAGCTTAGCTCTTAGTTAAGACCTTATATTATAATAACGTACTTATTAATACGATTTTTATAATTTTTTTAAAATAATTAACTTATTTATATTTACTTTAGCCTAAGCTAAATTAACTAGCTATAATAGTTAAATTAAATAGTTTAACGTACTTTACGCTATAAGTAAGAGCGTCGGGGTTTAGAAATACGTTAATTTAAACGCTCTAAACTTTAATATATTTCTTAACCTCTCTATAGCGCTTATTTTATTTTTTAAATTTAAATAATTAGTTATAACTTATAATAAAAAAGAACTACGAGCTTATTAAGCCCGTTATAAAGCGTTTAAAAACGACTAAAAAAACTAAGAAATCCTTTATTAATAGCTTTTAAATATAACTCTTAGTACGAACTTTTTAATTTCCTTAAGTATAAGTAACCTATAGGACTAAGCCGGGTTTTTTTTTATAAAACTAATTATACTATTTACTTTACGTAAATAAATCTATCTTTATATCGTACTTATAAAAAGGATTTATATATTTAAAAGTATTTAGAAATAATAAGAGCTTAATATTAAATATAAGTAATTTATAGTTTATAAACGTAATACTATTAATATATATATTAAAGTCCTTGTTTAGTAGTTAGTAAAATTAGTTAACGCTATATTATATAAATACGTATTTTAAAAAGCTATTAAAAACGGTACTAAGTTTAGTATATAGCGAATCGTTAGATATTTAAAATAAGAATTTGTGCCCCCTAAATTAGTAATAAGGAATACGGTTTAAGAGGAATATTAATAAGCCCTTAATAAAGTAAGGACCGGAATTAACCTCTAACGTTAGTATAAAAAGTAGTAATTTATTTATTTCCGAGCTAAAATGTATAATATTTTAAAAATTAGTAAAAAGATCGCTATACTTAACTTCTTAGTTATAGTTAAGTCTAGACTTAACCCTATATAGGGCTAACATATATATAAGACTTTTAGTAAATTAATAGCCTTCGGAACGTATATAAGGACCCTTAAGGAAATTACGTATATATTTAGCTTAGTAACCTAAGACGTATATACTAAACGACTTTTAAGTTAAAGAGGGGCTTATTCTATTTTTATTAGACGCTCTAACTTAGTTAACGATATAAATAATAAGAGTAATATTATATACTTTTATAATTACGTATACTTATAGCGCCCTATAATATATTAAAAATTAGAATAAGTATTTATAAACCGAAATACTAATAAGTTATTAATACGAATACTAAGGAGCTATATAGAGGAAGTCCTCGCCGCTATTAAATTAAGTAAATAAAAATTATTTTATAATAAGCTTAAAAAAGCTAATTAATTAAGGAATAATAGAACCCTTAAAAAACCCAGGTTTCTAAAAGGATTCTCTAACTAACTTATAGCGAGCTTATTAATAAACTAGGACGAGGGCTACGTAGTTATTATATTTATAAAAAGTTAGGACTTAGAGATAAACGTAATTTTTAGTACCCCTATAAGTAATACTTACCCCCTTTTTTAAAGTACGGTAATAAATAACTATAAAGTAATATATTTAGTTAATAATAAAAGCCTATTTAAACCCGAGAGTTACGTACTATTAGGTAATAATAATTATATTAAATTAAGAACTATTATACTACTTATTATTATACGTAGTACTCGTATTATAAAGGGCGTCTTAAATAGACTTAAAGGAAAGGGAACTTATAATCTAAAGCTCTAGAACGTCACTTATATTAAAGGATTCTATATTAATATAGTTTTAAAAACTTTACTAAATAGAAATATACTCTAATACTACGGTTTAGATTATACTTTATAATAAGGAACGCTTTATAAGAGTATTATTAAAAAATAGCTTATTTAAAAAAACAATTTAATCTTTTTTAAATATAAGCTCCTCTAATCCTATCCTTTTTTTATAAACCTTAAGCGTATCCTATAGAGCTTAATTAATATTATATTATTAATTAGTTATAAAAAATTTTATTATTTATATTAACGTACTTATAAGAGGTTTAATAGTACGCTTTTTTAATACTTTAAAATAAGTTATTTTAAACTTAATACTCTTTATTAATTATTATATAAGACTTAAAGTATACGTATTAAACCTTTATTATAAGTTAAGTACGAAGTATATATATTATCTAAAGCTAAAATAGTAATCTTAAAAGGACTACCCTTAAAAAGAGCCTTATAGTTATAATACTATATATACTAGGATCTCTTTTACTTCGAACTATTTCTTAATAAATAATAATATATACTTATAGTTTTTAACGAATATAATAAGTAGCTTAGAGGGTTCTTTTTAAGGATTAAAATAAAAGAAGAAGTGCTTTTTATATTATAGAGCCTCGAGGTAGTAATTCGTTATTAAAAAAGGACTCTAATTTACTTTTTTAAAAATAATAATAAAACCGCCTTTTTAACTATAAACGTTAGATATGTATATAAAACGTAATATAACGAGCTAAGAATTAAAATAGAACTTCTACTTTTATATATAAAGGAACCCGTAGGTAACGCTAAAAAAGTAGGTTAATTTATAATTATTAAAGCTTATAAAATACGCCTTTTTATAAACCTCTTTACGAATTTATAAAACAAAATAGTACTAATAGTAATTTTTATTTATAATATTACCCTACGGGAGGTTAATAAAAGAGATTTGCTTATTATAATAAAAATTAATTAGTAAAAGCGGTATTAACGTTAGTAATAAACGGGTTATTAAATACGGGATTCTAAACTAGTTACCCCGTATCTCGGTAGTCTTTATATATATAGCTACTAAGTATACCCTTTTTATAGGGATCGTAAGAGGGGTATACGTTAAAAAAAGTTTAAAATACTTTCTTATAGGTATATAAGATACTTAGTTAGATATATACTAAAAACGTATAACTTATATAAGGTCTAAGTACCCGCGCTCAAATAAGTATTTATTATAAAAAATATTAAGTTTAATAAAGAAGTTTTTTATAATCCTATATATAAAGAATAAGCTATTATAAGTAAGTAAATAAATTTAGTAATCTAAAAAATATAAGAACTTTTTAATACTAATAATAAGCTAGTTCGAGTACTTAGGGAAGTAAATCTAGATTTTAAAAATATTAGTATTTAAAATAATTTTATAATCGAGGATAGTATTATTATTAAATTTTTAACTATTTAGGACGCTAAGTAATTAATAAACGTATTTTAGAGTATAGTTAATAAGGCTAAAGAGGCTAATATAGTTTTATTATTATTACTAATTCTTAAAATAACCCCCTTATATAAGCTCGGGGATAGGGGTAAAAAAGGGGATATAATAACTAGGTTATAAATAGCTCTACGTAGTCTATAATCTTTTTTATAAGTGCTTATATATATTATAA